AACCAGAATGAACTTTTCCTATCTCTTATGGCATTGAAAGATCTATATTTAACTTTAAATGGTGACATTCCTGGATCTTGCTTTTCAATCTCTTTGCTGGAATGAAAAGACTGCTTCCAATTGCACCAGAATATTCTACAAGAATTGTTTAAAAATATAGCAATCCTTTCTTTTTTTTAATAAATTAGTTGAGATTTCAATTGAATTATTTACTTTTACTATTACTGTTGTGATATCTTTTTTAAAGATGTTAATATCATTATTTTTGATTTAGTTAAATTAGCGATTTCCGATTCAGAATTCAAACCATTTGAAATGCAGAATTTTGATGCTGAGGAAATTTGATTTACTCCAAAATAAATATTTTTTAATACCCTGCTACCATCTGCTTTTTTTCTTAGATTTGAATCATATTAATTTTTTCCAATAATAAAAAAAGCAGTAAATAAATTAAAACTTAAGGCTTATAGTTTTTCTATAAGTAATGTATTCAGAAAAATAAACATGAAACAATTACTGGCACCAGTGTCAAACATACAAGCACCAATTTTCTAATACAAATAATCCGTTGCTAAGACCGTTGCTTAGGAATTTTTTTAGTCTCATTACAAAACTTGCTAATTTAGAGCATTTTAAAAATCGTTTGCTATAATGATCTATATATATTTGGAATGTAGGACGTTTGGGTTTCAAGAATATGTTATTTTTGAAAAATCGATTTTTTAGATTTTTTTTTTCTATAGGATCACCGCAAAATTATTTGTTACTATTAGTTTATTAATTCGTTACTATTAACAAATAGTACTACTCGTTAATTCGTTACAATTAAGTACTTGTGATATTTCAGTGTGTATATAGTTGTGAATATAGTTGCCCCCCCTCCTTTTCAACTTATTCGTAGAACTATGGTGGCAAGGACTCCAGGACTCCAAGCTAAAAAAAAGAAGGTTCTAAGTAATTGAATCAAATAAATTTTTTTTATTGCAAATTTCTACCAACGTTTTTAGCCAGTAAATATAGGAGGAAGGGGTCATTGCAAAGTTTGACAATAATTGACAATGGGGAGGAGAGACGTTGAGACCAAAATAATGTCATTTAAAAAAAAAAAAATTAACTTATACAAGCTGACGTTAAAGGTAATTACATTTATAGAAATGGTATATTTGCTTTTTGGGGATTTTGATATAAGTTAAATAATTAAATATATAATTGATATAAGTAAAGACATTAAATAAATAATTTACCAACGTTTCATTTGACTGCAAATCTTATTGCTTATATATCAACTATTTATATAAAAAATATCAATAGTTAAATATCAATAGTTATTCGCTTCCTAGCGGATTATAAAATATGCTTTAAAACAAGCACATAAAGACATTTGTCATTATTTCAAATACAACTGTCATTATTTCAAATAAAAAACTCTAATTGCTCTGTAGCGGCTTATAAAAGATGATGCAACGCAAACACGTAAGTCATTATTGAAAATACGAAACGCTGATTGCTCCTAAGCGGCTTGAACAAACTATTTAAACAGCTTGCGCTGACAGAGCAAATTCATTATTTTGATTGTGATGTAAACAAAACTAATAAATCAATAATACAAATATAGATAAAACTGCATTGTCTACCTTAATGAAGGTCTTGTATGGAAATGCTTATTCCGATAAAAAGAAGGCCAATATTCAGAAAGAAGTCTATAGTCTTCGGAACTCATTAAAGGAAGAGAAACTCGAGTATAAGGATCTTGATTCAAGGTTAATTTATATATACAGTTCATTCAATAATAAGACCATGAAGTTCAAGAGCAAGCAATCGTCATTTTGGGCCAATACTCTAAAACAGTAAGCCCCCACGTATATTCCTCTTGAATTTGACAAGTTTATAGAACCCACCAATGAGCAATCTGTCGTTAATAATCAACATTAGTTTCCATTTTTTTAACCACTAGTTAAAAAATTGGAAACATTAGTTAAAAAACTAATGTTTCCAATTTTTTAACCATTTTTTCAAGTCCACAAGTTTCCAATTTTTTAAAAAAAACAAAAAAACAAGAACATTGGCTCAGGTTCGTACTCGATATTCCAGCTATAAATTGTGAAGTTGCTGGACTGAAGACTGAAGACTAGGAAGACAGGTGGATCTGAAGCTGCTGAAGCTGAAGAGAATGATTTGAAAAAAAAAGAGGAAACTAGCTCATCTAACAAAAGAGTTGGCCAAGATAAAGTGTGATTAAGCTCAACAGAAGAAAACTAGAGAACTGAAAAAAGCTAGAATGGAGAAAATCTTGTTGGAACATCCAGAAGTCAAAGAGAAACTGAAAATCAGAAAGAAAACTGGTCAAAAAAATGGTAGACTATATGATATTTTCTGATGACAAGCAGATAGAGCACGTCAGTCATTTAACATTTGACTGCAACAAACGAATTGCAAACACTAGGTAAGTAATACATATATTAACGTAGAATAAAGGGTCATCGTATGTCAACTATTCGTATGTGTTACAGAGGACTACCATGTGACGTGAAACTAAGTTAAATGCTGAAGAAGTCCAACGATTAAGGCATTTAAGACTGCGAATGTATCAACATCTTAGATATCGAAACAAATACAGCGAAGACGGAAAATAATTGAGAAAATTTTTGAAGGATCCTGATTACATTTAAAAACAAAATCCAACCAAAATGCTTCGAAATTTACCAAGAGTGACAAACGTCACATACTACAAGTGGCTTCAAACAACGGCTTTAGTGCCTGATTGATACACGCCCAGTTAGATATTGATTTGTAATTGCGTGCGATACAACAAACGTTACACGAAACCAAACATCTGAGGTATGCGAAGCGTATGTAAACGCTGGCGATGTATAAATATCACATGGAAAAACGTATGGCGTATGCGAACAAATATTTGTCTTGTCCACCTGATTGAAGCTCAATTATTTGGTCTGATGAGAAGAAATTTTCTTGATGATCCAGACGGATATCAATATTATTTTCATGACTTACGAAAAGAGCCCGAGACTTTTTGTACAGACAAAGCGGTGGTGGTGTCATGATTTGTGGTGATGCATTTTCCAAGGCTATATTATTACACTCTTTGATTAATTAATGCCATATGGGCATGTCAACTATGGACATGCGTTTGTTTTTATGTAAGATAACGCATCGATACATATGGCAAAGACCGTTATGGAATTTGTAACGGAACATGACATCCAGTTGTTTAATCATCCGGCGCTGTCACCTGACTTGAATCTGATTAAATACATTTAGGGTTACTTGTCTCGTCACAAATGGAAAATAATACAGTATGTCACGAAACTGAAAATGACCATCCAGGTGGAATAGAAGAAAATCCACTAATCATTGCTTGAAACGATCATTTTCTCCATGTTTTAGCGTTGAATTCAGGTTATTGTAAGGAAATGTAAGAAGATTGACTATTAGCTACATTTCTTAGTAATCTCTAAAACCTGCTGAAACGGTATGTGCTATTTATTGAAATGGTGTATGTATTTGTATTAGTTATTATGTTAAATTTAATACATTCATACACCTATTTTTATTACTAAATTATTTCTTATGCTATTCGTTTGGCGCGGACTGTAGAAAGAAATCAACCTCTTCTTTTGAAAGCGATTATTGATATTATCCTCAATCACTTTTGCTCATGGATTAGACTTTCAGCGGCTCTTGGATATTAAAGAACTTGACTCTATTAACAGAGATTCTCAAACTAATATGGTTAAGCCTATCATTGTGTTTAAGCCTATTGTTGTCGATGGGGACCCAATGAAATTTCTAGTTACCAGAAAGTAATGAAATCGGAATTTACCTTTTCTTAAAGAATAACCTCGACGCTCTTTTCATCATGATGAACGCTAAAAAGTTAATTCGTAATATATAAAATAGTTTTTAACCTTTAATAACCAATATATCTTTTTAAAACAGGCAGGACAAGAGATGAAGATTTAGAAAAAAAGAAATTTGGTTTTGCCGGACAGGCTTTAGCAGATATTCAGTCTGACCTAAAACTTGATGGTTGTCCGATTGTCGAAGAGTGTATTAATCCAGAGCAATTAGAGGTTGCGTCAAGAAACCTTTTACTACAAAAAATCAACGTTGTATTGCCCATTATTTTCGTACGAGTCAATATTTTACTCAAATTGTAAAATGCGAAAATCGCTCTTGTTGTCGGACTATAAGAAACTCTATGAGAGTATACTTTACTCTAACTGTATCTACTTTGACTCTCGAGCTTTGCTGAAAAAGCATATTTTTACGCATATTTTTAATGTTGTTTTAGGAGGAGGGGGAGGGTTACAAAAACTGATATCATATATAAGGGGGCTCGGTAAAAAACTGATCGAGTTTGATAAAAGGGGAAAACGGGGTCAAAAAATTGAAAAAAATCCTTGACATTATTTATGGACTAACCCTATTAGAATTTATTAGAAAAATTTTGTTTGCCGTAATTTAGTATAAAGTACCGTAATTTTGAGTTGGCGCTGCCAAGAGAAATCGAAATTTACATGTATTTAGTATGCAGAATTCAAACATGTGCGTTGTATTTTTAAAGGGATAAATCGAGAACGTATATTATTTAATGTAATATATACAAGATGACCTATTCCTAAATTTATTTTTGTTATTAATTCATCATTTACAATTTTTTTAGTGATTCTTTTTAAACTATTAAACCACATTACGTTACTTTTTTTTAATTTATTTATATATATATATATAATATTTTTAATATATATATATATATATATATATATATATATATATATATATATATATATATATATATATATATATATATATATATATATATATATATATATATATATATATATATATATATATATATATATATATATTGCCTTTTTTTAATGATTAATTAATGATTAATTATTATTAGTTAATCATTAATAAAGTTAATGATCAATAGTAACATCAGTAGTATAGTAAAAACAACGGTACTATTTAATAAAAAAAAAACGCTTCTTTTTGTTTTTCATCTATAGTTGTTATTTATAAAAGTTAAAAGTTTTATAGTTTAATCTAAGAATTAAAATGGAAGTACCAACAACTAAAGTTCCAGAAGTCCGAGATATCACAAGAATGGAGAGAATTGGTAAGTTAAATATTGTTGATAAGTAAATACTATTAAATGCATATTAGGGTGTATCAATTATTAGCAGAAATGGATGCAGCATTTTTTGGTGTTTGCTAAAAAATATCAAACCTTTAAAGTGTAAATTTTAGGTGCTCACTCTCATATTAGAGGACTTGGTCTTGATGATGCTCTAGAAGCTAGACAGGTAAATTATTTGTAATTTATAAATACTTAAAATATTTTTGTAGTAGTATATATTAGTACTTTTTAAAAAGTTTTTTCAAGATTGTATTCATAATGATCGCTATTTTATATTAAATTTTAGTAAAGTAGTTTTTAGGTTTTCTTTTATCATAATTGAATAGCATTTTTTATTTTGTTTTAAAGATTGTGTTGTAACAATGTTTATTATAAAAATGATATATTTTTACCCATGAAATTAAATTGCTAGAAAACTGCATTTTTAATATTCATTAAGGTATCACAAGGAATGGTAGGACAAAAAAAGGCACGTCGTGCTGCTGGCATTATAACAAAGATGATAAAGGTTTTGTATTTATAATTTTATACCCTATACATTTATAGTTCTTTTATATGCGTACTTATAACCTATATCTATCTGCTATCTGCAGGGTTTTCATTAATTTCAGAGGTAATTAATTACATCAGCAGGGTTTCATCACTCACATTTAGGTTTTAAATTTAGGCAGAAACTGTATACTTTTAAAGGACTTTTATTATGTTAAAAAAAGAAATATAAATATATTTTTTCTTTTATTAATATAAATAGTTTGGAGCATACCATTTAACATATGACCCAGCTATAAATATAAGCCAATAAAGTAAAAAAATAAACAGTTATTAATTTCATGTATCACCATCAGTCATGTATCATCAACAGTTATTAATTTCATGTATCATCAGTTATTAATTTCATGTATTGTCATGTGAGGAAAGTTATATTTTTAGAATTAAACCTGTAAGCAAAATTTAGTTGCCATCTTTGCTTGGCATCTGGAACTAGTATTTGACAAATTTTTCTTTTGTTGTATCTAAAATCCTTCTCAAAGAAGACCAAATAATTATTAACTTTAAAAATAGATGGTAGTTAAACTTTCAAAACCTTGCTGTTAAGTTTAAATGGTTGCTGCCAGGATCAATTATAAGGAAGCTAATTCAGAAAAAATTTATGCCTAAACGAAAACCCCTAATTAATGTATGTGCGTTCCACTGTGCCTAACCCTAAATCAGTCAATGTATGTGCGCTCCACTTTGCATATCCCTAAATCAGTGGATGTGTGTACACTCACTGTGCCATGTATATAAGTAATAAAAATCAATGTAACTTTCAATATACAACAATAATAATAACTTTTAATAAAAAATAGTTTAAAAAAACATTTAAAAACATTTTTCTATGTAAAGGACTTGATTCTGGATCACTGTAAAAGTTGAACTAATGAGATACCACAATGCTAAACGTACAATGTAGAGTTGCAACTCTTTTTAAATTTGTACAAATAAAACTTTCAAAACCAACCAATAATATTCGCAGCCATGACTTTAAGATAAAAAATTTATGACTTTAAGATTGCGCTATTGTGCTAGCCACAACATTTTTTTAATGATGTTATTGGTATTCTTTTTTATTTTAATTTAGCAGATTTTCACTTATTAGATGCTTTTCTAAATAATTTTTTATGGTTTTATTTTAAATGGTTTAGCAATACTAAAAATAAAGAAATACTTTATTTATAATTATTTCTGAATTATTTCTTTCTTACTAAATTTGGAATCAAAGCAGCAATCAATTTGCAAGGTCTAACCTTCCAGATAAATAAAATTTTAAAAGTTTATCTGATATATTGACTACTATTGCTTTACTTTTTGACAATTTTCTTAACTATTTTAATCAAATGTTTACAGGCATAAAAAATTAAAAAATTAAAAAAAAATTTATGTCGGTGTATAACAGGTACTACTTCCCTTAAAATACAGAATTTTATCAAATGCTAAAAATAATAGAAATAATTCAGAAATCATTTTCGATATAATAATAGTTCATTTTTAACACTTTAAAGCTTTTTTTATATTAAGGATGGTAAAATAGCCGGTCGGGCTGTACTGTTAGCTGGACAACCAGGAACTGGAAAAACAGCTATTGCTATGGGTATATTTTGAAATTTGCTCATAATATTTATTTTTATGTTTATATTTTCTCTACTGACTTTAAGCATATTTGTAAATTCACTACAAATAAAATATAAATAACTCAATAGGTATAGCTCAATCACTTGGTCCAGATACACCTTTTACAGCTATGTCTGGTAGTGAAATTTTTTCTCTTGAAATGGGAAAAACAGAAGCTCTAACACAAGCATTCAGAAAATCAATAGGAGTAAGAATTAAGTAAGTATTTCGCCTCAATCTTTCTACAACTAAATTAGAGGTTAGTGAGTTTTACTAAATTCCTGGTAAGTCGAATACTGCTTAACTCAAACTTTTTTTTATTTTGAACTGTTTCATTTGGTCCCTTGAAATCGTCTAATCAATTATTGTTAAAATACTCAAGTCGAACCTTGGATAACTCGAATTTTGTTTAGTCAAACTATTTTTTTGTTTCCTTTCAGTGTATTTCTTCAGAAAACTCAAACTTTTTGTTTGGAAATTAAAGAAATTAAAAATAACAAAAACTTTTTTTTTAAAATTCTATATAAAACAAATAATTGTAGCCTAATAATACTTTTTTTTTTCATTTTATTTAGATCTGAATAGATGCTGTTTAGATCTAAATCTTATCAGACGAAAACTAAATCTTATTATTACGTAAACAAAATCCCATTAGCTAAAATTTAACTAATCCGTTTAATTATAAGTTTAAAATAAAAATATTTCAGTTAGTAATAATATTTAACATAAAAACTTTCACAAATATGATAACTAATAATTTAGATATCACTACCCAGAGACATATGTATTAAAAGCTTTAATAAAACTGTTAAAAGATAAATCATAATAAAAAACTGTTAAAAAGCAAATAATTATTTTATAATTTTATAATTCAGAGAAGAGTCGGAGATTATCGAAGGAGAAGTTGTAGAAGTACAAGTAGACAGACCTGCTACAGGAACAGTATGAACTCATTTTCTTTTTTCAAAATTTTAATTTGTTGATTTTCAAAGTTTTATAAGTCAGGTTCTTTAGATATTAAAATAATGCTTAATTGTAAATCTTTCTAATATATTGTATATTTCTCCTCCTATCATATATCTACTTAAATATTTTGCTTAAAAATTATTAATATAAATATTTATAAAAATTTTTTATTAAACAATATCAAAAACTAAATTTTTTTCTTTTTCATAGTTTTTTGCAAATTTGTATAAATTTATTTGACTTATTTCCTAATTTTGTGATTTTAATTTTAGGTTTAGTTTTGTGTTTATAGAAATTGATTTTTGTATTAGGGAGCTAAAGTTGGAAAGCTAACACTTAAAACTACAGAAATGGAGACCATATATGATCTTGGTACAAAAATGATAGAATCTGTTACTAAAGAAAAAGTTCAAGCTGGGTACATTGTTTATAAAAATAATTGACTGCATGTTTTTTTGTTTTTTGTTTTTATAGGCATTATAAATAATATTCTGCATGCTTTTAATATAGGATATTAATAGTTAAATTATCTCTTAAAACATGTATATATTAATAGTTAAATTATCTCTTAAAACTTAAAACATGTTTGATATGTTAAGATATGTTAAGACATGTTATATTCTAATGTTTACTATTGTAAACATTAAAATAGGTTTAAGAATCAAATAATACTAATTTATGATAAGCTATTTATTCAGTCAGCAATTTCGGAAACATAGCAGCAATTACAGTCAATCATGTGTTAATTAAAATATGAAATATTTTATAAAGATAATTATTTTTAAACATTGCTTTTATTACTTCTTTTTTATTTCTAACTAATTTTGAATCCAGCAAATTCAAAATTAAATATCTATTGTTTGAATTAAATGAGTAACTGGAATTAATTTTAAAAACTTTGAATTTTGACATGTTATAGTTATTAAAAAAGTTTTTCAAAGATATTTACCAAATATATGTTAATATATATATATATATATTTTATTTACCAAATATATGTTTAAATATTTTTTATTTTATTTAGTGATGTTATAACTATAGACAAAGCAACGGGAAAAATTTCAAGGTTAGGAAGATCCTTTACGCGTGCCAGAGATTATGATGCTATGGGACCTCAAGTATTTTTTTAATTTTTAATTTTTTTTTTTAATCTTTATTTAAAATTGATTAGCATTACAAATAATGAATTATACAATTTTATCTATTGTTAAATGATAAGTGAAAGTTAGCTAAAAACATAGAAAAAATGAACTAATTATTTGTGTTGAAAAAGCAGCAGAGCTACTAATGTTTTGTGGGAGGTAGAGGTCACTGACACCATCACGAAGAATATGTAAGTATTTTTGAACAAAGGATTGTTGATAGGTAGTAGTGATTGCGGTATTTAGAGCGGATGGCAATCTGTTTGAGTTTCTGCTATTGGTGCAAAGTAATTTAGTGCTTATCGGATGGTGTGTGTCTGCAAGGATCTTTTTAAGGATATTAATACATGTCTTTTTAAGTAATTTTTCAATGTCAAAACAAATATTGAGACGGCTTGAGTTGGTTGCATTAACTCCGATGATGTTTAAGGCATTTTTGTGGAAATGTTGAATCTCTTTTTTTTGCAGCAAGACGGCAAGAGGTAAGAACTGGGGCATTATATATTATGTGGCTAATAGCGTAAGATCTGTAGACTTGTAGTAGATTGGGCTCAGTGTTTCGATTTGCTTGAGGCACTTTTGTAGAAATGGCACTGATTTTATAGTGTTGTGCACCTTTATCCATTATTCATCCCAATCAAGATTCTCATTCAGCAGGATTCCGAGGTATTTATAGCAGTATACAATTTTGAGTTTTATTGAGTATGGGAGATGGTGAAGCATGAGTGTTGGAGTACCGGGCTTTGATTCTAATAACTTTACATTTTGAGCTGTTAAGTTTCATTCCATTGGTCACAGGCCATCGAGCGACACATTCAGCATTGGAGTGAGGTAAATTGGCAGGCTCTTTATCATAGATAATATAGGTCAGAATGTCGTCAGCATACTTTTCGAGAATGGTTTCAGGTGGGAGGTAGGTATTTATATCGGTAATAAAGGGAATGAACAAGATTGGGTCAAGAACACTACCCTGAATTACTCCGGCTTGTATATATTTCCAGTCAGTGGTGTGATTACTTGTTTTTACTCTTTGGCAATGATTAGATAAGTAAGCTGCGATCCAAGATGTGAGCCAGTTAGATAGAATATTCACCAACTTTAGTAGATCAAATGCTTTGGCGAAATCGGAGAATATTGCAAAAATAGATTTATTATTATCTTTAGCCTAACTCCGATCTTTTATAACTTGAATAATAGCCTCCATTGTACTATGGCCTAAAAGGAAACCGAACTGTTTGTTTGAGACCCAGATGTGTTTGATGTGATGGACAATGAATTTAGTGACAATGTGGTCAAACACTTTGCATAACGCAGACGTAATAGCAATTGGGCGATAGTCATTAGAAGATAGAGGGTCTGAGATTTTAGGAATTAATGTTATGTTTGCTGATTTTCCTTGATCAGGGAAGTAACTATTTTCTATCTGGCGGTTAAACAGGATATTGAGTGATGGGGCAATTTCTAAGCGAGCAGATTTGAGTAAAATTGGGGAGTGATTGTCAGGTCCTGGTGATCCTGTCTTTAGATTGCTGAGTTAGTTGAGAATGTTATTAAAGGTAAAAATGATGATTTCCAGAATTGCTGATTTCCGGGTAGGTTGTGAATTAAGGTGTATGAGCTGGTGAGAACGGCAAATAAAGTCAGTAGAGCAACCATTTAGATCTCCTGCAAGAATTATAAGTGTTTAGTTGTCGATTGTGCAGCGAGTTATTGCTGGTTCGATGAGTTGTGCAAGTCGATATGATGCATCTCGTTGTGCATTTTTAGACTAAACCCGGATATATGCGCATATTATTAGACAGGAAGACTATCCTCGGGGCAGGTATTTTAGGTACACTCAAGCAATAGTTAGTTCGATTTCTTGTTCAGGTACTGAATTAGACAGGAAGTTAGTTGTCGGTTTTATCTGTTCTATTTTATCTGAATATTTTTTGTTTATAAATATAATAGTGCCACCACCTATGCGATCCTGGCGTTCAGTGCTTATGTAAGTGTAATTACTATTGACTTAAGAGAGAATAACTTGCTTATCAGCAGAGCTTAGCCACGTTTCAGTTAGGCAGGCAACATCAATGTTGGTATTTGTGAGAAACTGGTTGAAGATCTCGATTTTGTTACAGAGTGAACCCATGTTATTAGTGCAGATGTTTGGTAAGCGATTGGTGTTGGCTTTTGAGCTAATTGGTTGATGAGGAGCGATGATTGAGGGCACTGCGTATCTTGACGATTGCTCCATTGTGGATGCCCCAGTGAAAGGGCGTATCAGGATTATCATTTTGAAGTTTATCACTAGGAGTGTTGCGGTCTTTGCGTAGTTACTCAAGCTCTTTTTTTTTTGAAGTTTATCACTAGGAGTGTTGCGGTCTTTGCGTAGTTACTCAAGCTCTTTGCGTAGTTACTCAAGCTCTTTTTTGCTTAGTTACTCAAGCTCTTTGCGTAGTTACTCAAGCTCTTTTTCAACTGGTGACAAATTAGGACTGACTGAGTATTTCTTGAAGGTTTCATGTGTAGCAAGTTTTCAAGAGTTCATAAGTGCTTTTTATTTTTTTTTTGGCAAGCTCCTCAAATTTTACTATAATAGGCCGACTATTTGATAACTTTTTAGTGTTTAAGTGCTTGGAGAAACTAACATCATCATTGGTAAGGCCTAGTACTGTTAGGACCTCTGTGATGCAGTTTAACGTTGCTGGTGGTGCTTGGGCAGCACCTGGTGCATTGGCTGGTTCAGGGACACCAAATATTATAATATTTTTCTCACGCTTAGCTGCTTGTTTTAGTTCAACTAGAACTTGACCAATTTGTGGCGATGGGTTTGGCTTGTTTCTGACAATACTACTCCAGGAAGACTCTTTTCAACTTGCTTGGTTGACTGATTGAGAGTTGAGATTATTTTCTATAACAGCTACTTTTTGTTCAAGTTTTTAGATTTGGTTGGCTTGCAAGTAGATAGTTGCTTTCTGTTCTAAAATGATGTTCATGAGCTCCATTATCCAGATATCAAGGTGGGTTATTGATGGCGCTATGTTTTTAACAGCTGAGTAAGCATATTGCAACCATTGGCATCAATTTTTCTAGCCATATTGCTTTTTAATTAATTACACCACTTCAAATTTTTTGATAGGAGGGCTATCACTGACATGACAGTGGATTACCTCCAAGTCATGAAATTATATATCTTATTACACAGGAACTTATTACACAGGGACTAAAAAGTTTCAGTATGTGTTTTTTCCCGTGGAAAATTTCAAGGTTAGGAAGATCCTTTACACGTGCCAGAGATTATGATGCTGTGGGACCTCAAGTATTTATATATTATGTTTTTTTTTTAATTGGTTGTTCTTGTTTTATATATCTATTTAAAAAATTGCAATTTAAAAATTTAAAACTTGCAGTTTAAAAAATGCTTGTATTTTTTTCCCAACCATTTTATTTATATATATATATATATATATATATATATATATATATATATATATATATATATATATATATATATATATATATATATATATATATATATATATATACTGGTGATGTACTGATTAATCGGCATCAGTTTAATCGGCCACTTTTTGCACAATCGGCATCAGCCTTTTTTTACCGATTTTCCAACCGATGGCATTTTAATATTTTTATCCTGCATTATTATAATAATTAAATAATAAATTAACTAAACTTTGTTTAAATATTGTTATCTATATTTTTTAAATTCTTCTTTACTCCCAATAAGGCTTCAAGCAACCACTATCAAGTTGGGAGTAGCTAGAAAAAAAGAGTAGAGTTATGGAGCAATGAAGTGGTTGACAGAAGACTTAAAAAGTTAAAGGTTGTATGAGTCAGGAAAACATGAAGATGGGACAGAGTTCCAAAGGGTTAAAATGCGTGGAATTAATCTAGACAAACAAAAGTTTTTGGAGCATGAAGAGCAGATACAGTAGAAGAATGAGACTTTGATGAATGACAAGTCAAGCGAGAATGAGTTTTGGTTGATGGAACTAAAGATGAAAGCTCCTTTGAGCAGCAACCATGATAGTATTAGTAGAAAAGAGAAAGAGATGCAACTTTATGATGATGGGAAAGAGGCTCAAGCTTAGCAGGTAGACCGGGTCCAACTCTGTTTCAATATGTTTTTAAACCTTATCTTGAAGAGAAAGAGCATCATTAGATGAACCAGCCCAAATATGATAACAGTATTCCATACAGGGATGAATAAGAGATTTGTAGAGGTAGGGAATGGAATCAGGAAAGAGAAAATGGTGAGCACGATATAAGGAAGCAACCTTAGCAGATGCTAATTTAGCAATCGATTGTATATATGGTTTCCATAAAAAGTCAGTAGTAAATGATAATCCAAGAAGACGTAAAGAAGTGGAATTAGTGAGAGGGTTGCCATTCATCAATATAGGAATGTTGACAGTACTGCAATAGTTATTTGTCTGACAGCAAGTTATTTGACAGCATTTTTATTTTTAAAATCACTCCTCTAATTTTTAACTTTAAAAAAAAAATAGTTTTGAATGTTTTTATTTTGACTGACAAATAGGTAGAACAAGCAATGAGTGTTGCTACATCTAGGTAAAACATGGAAGGAGTGCTGCTACACTAACTGACAAATAGGTAAATATGCAAAGAGTGCAGCTACATTGACTAACAAATATGTAGGACATGCGACGAGTGCTGCTACATGGACTAAGGGTTTTATTTTGGGTAGTATGTATTTTTAACTTTTTTTAAGAAAAATCAATTGCCTCAAACAGGAATAACTTTGACCATAAAACTATAATGTGCAAAATATGAAAGTTGCAAGTTTTTCTGATTCTATTTTATTTTATTTTAATATATAATATGTTGAACTTGAACAAATTTTAAAATATGTTTAAAATATATTTCTATAATATAAACATATAACTCACTAGTTTAGTTTTTAAAAAGTCCTATCATTTTGTACAAAAAAACATTGACAATATTCTAAAAACAGATATATAAAGATATGGAAAAAACAAATATAATCTTAAAATCATTTAAATTTGACTCTGCCTAAACCTTAGGTATATCTTTTTTGTATTTTCAGACCACTATGACAATGAAATCACTGATGACAATAAAAGTAATCAGGAGTTGTTTTTTTTTTTTTCAAGTTAAGTAAAAGCTTAGTAAATGTATTGAGGTTATTTTTCAAAATCAGCGATTTGTATAAAAAACTCTTGTTTTAAAATAATAGCATAATTTAAAGCGTTAGCTTTATTTACTTTAAAAATTTTTCCTTCTCCAAGACCTTTTGAATAAATATGTCTCATATATCAGTAGCAAATATTTTTCTCTAAAATATTTCAGAAGAATTTCATAACGAGTACAAAGACACAAATCTTTTTTATTAAAAAATATTTATAAAAAATATAAATAAAAAGTAAAAAAATATTTTTTTCCAAAGTAATAGTTTTAAGAAAAAAAAAATGAATTTTTGAGAAAAATAATTTTGTTGTATGGCCCAGTATTTTAAATCTGAGGGTGAACTTTAACAAAAGTAAATGAAAAAAAGATTTTTTCATTATTTTACTAAAATAACTGCATCTATTTTTTAAATTTTGGGTTGAAATAGTTTAGTCAAGTCAACATATAAAAATATGTTGAATTGAAAATTTAATATGTTGACATGAAGTTTAATATGTTGACTTGAAAGTTTAATATGTTGACTTGAAAGTTTAATATGTTGATTTGAAAGTTTAATATGTTGACTTTAGTACAGTTTTTCATAGAATCAAAGAAGACTAAATAGAAAATATAAATGTAAAAAAAAAAAGTGAATTAAAAGAATGTTAGTCCTTTATACAACAATTATATATGCAGCTGTTGTATTTTAGACAAAATTTGTTCAATGTCCTGAAGGGGAGCTTCAGAAACGTAAAGAAGTTGTACATACAGTCAGCTTGCATGAAATCGATGTTATCAATAGTAGAACACAAGGATTCCTTGCTCTATTTTCTGGTATATTTTTTTCCATTTGTTAAAATTTATATTTATAGCTCAAACATAAAAAAATTATATAGAATGTATACAATGGATATTTGATTGAATCACAACAGAATTTTTTGTAAATGTATATGTTTATACAAAAATTTCTTTGTTTGAGTAAGTTAGATGTCTAAAAAGAAATCTTTAATTTCTGATTGTTACAGATTTGTGACATTTTTAATTTTAATTTACTGTTAAACTTATTTGTTCCACCGTTGCACAGTGGGCCACTGACTGGACAAAAGTATAAAAGTCAGAATTTTGATGTCGTAATGGTTTTTAACCTTTTTATAGATATTATGAAACAATTTAAAACCTTTTATATACATCTAAAATTGTAATGAATAGACTAATCATGTGGTTAAAGTATATGCAAACATAAATTAAAAAAAAAATATTATAAAGCAAAAAATGTTGTTTACAAAATCGATGGTAATAATGTAACACTGTATTAAATATTGCGCATTGAAAATTGTTTTATTGTTGAATTGTCTATTTTCTGCATTTTAAGAGTTGTTAGATTAAAATAAGTAAGAAAACAAATAAGTTATAATAATTTTAAATACTTCATTAAAAGAATATTTGAAGTGTATTTTTTGGTTTAAAAAATACAAAAAAATAGAAGATCTTGTAGTATCCTGTTATTTTATATACATATTTTGAAGCTTTTATATCCATATTATGAAAATATGTTTAATTTAGCTGCTAATATTTGCTGATTTGCAAAAATATTTAGGGGCGGATCCAGCATTTTTGGTGTTTGAGATAGCTAACTTCCAGACATGCAGCAAACTCCAAACATTTATATGTTTATAGTTATATCAAATAAGGATGGTTTGCAAAAAATTGTGATGATTGGAGCCTGGGAACAAAAAAGCCCCAAAATTTGAGAGGTACCTGCCCCAAACGTGAGGGCAACAATAAAATATTTTTTGTACTATTCTCAACAAGACTTATATTTATCCATAAATTTTAAATTTTGTTCAAAAATTATGACCATGTAAAGTTTGAATCCCCCTCAATTCGAGGGGGTTACAATTTTTATATGGTCATAATTTTACTATGAAATTTAAAATTTATTGATAAATATAAGTCTTGTTGAGAATAGTACAAAAAATATTTTATCAACTTGTTGCTCTCATGTTTGGGGCAGGTACGTCTCAAATTTTAGGGCTTTTTTGTTCCCAGGCTCCAATCATCGCAATTTTTTGCAAACCATCCTTGTTTGACATAAGTATAAACATATAAATGTTTGGAGTTAGCTACATGTCTGGAAGTTAGTTATCTCAAACACCAAAAAATGCTGGATCCACCTCTGATATTGTATATAAAATATAACATCGCGAACAAAATAATACAATGTTATAATATAATGAATATTTTGATTCAAAAATAAGACTATTTAATTATAGTTAATATTATAATAATTAAAAGAAAATATTTCTACATAAAATAAATGAAAACCTATTGATAGTTTTATTTTTAACTTTAGACTATTTTTATTATGTCAAGCATTAATAGAAATCAAATCCATTTATTTATAAGAGAAAACAAATTATCATTGTCAAATGAAAAAGATAAGCTGGTAGTTTTTAATTTTATTAGTGAACAACTTGGCAATTCTAAATGTAAGGTTCAATTTTCAAAATTTACTTTTGAATACAGAAAGCGATGGGCTGCAAGTGGACGTTACAATGATATATTTTTGGATAAAAATTTAGCCTAGCTTTGCAAAGACTTTATTAGTCCCCAACAAACCTTTTCTTTATGCAATACAGAAACTACACCTAAATTATCTCTTGGCAGGCCTTGTAAATCATTTGAAAAATCATCTGATAAATCTAAAAAGAGGAAAATGTTAAAACTTGAATCTTTGGCAAGTTCTTCAAATGAGCTGTTGTTTGCTAGCAGTCGCAAACTTTGGAAACAAGGAAGGAGAAAGCATGCAAAGGTAGTTAGAAATTTATCAAAAACTCAAACTGATGAACATGTTCAAAATACTCCCAATGAAGCCTTAGCACTCATCTTAGATAATAATCTGAGCAAGTCTGATTATCAGCGCCTAAGGAACAATGCTGTAAGAAAAGTCTGTAATTTATATCCAGCTTATAATAATGTACGGGAAGCTAAAGTACTTTGTCTTCCAGAGAATAACCTATGGACTGTCACTGACTATTCTACAGAGGTCAACATGCAAGCATTGGTCAATCATACAGCACTACGTTTAATGGAATTTCAGGCAGAAGTTATTAACTCCTTAGAAGATCTTCAATGAATGACCCTAATGTCCAAAGTTGGCTTTGATGGACCAACTGGCCAAAGCCTTTATACTCAAATAACAACAGAAGAAGAAAACAGAAATATTACAAATGAAGCCAGCTTTTTCCTCACTTGCTTTGTGCCTTTGCAGTTATCTGGATATTCTAATGGCAAAAAGAAGACTATTTGGTCCAACCCTCATCCATCATCCACTTTATTTTGCAGACGAATATGATTCTCCTATAAAAAAGAAACATCATATGTATTAAAAGAAGAAGAACAGTTCCTTTACAACTCAATAGAAAAATTATTTACTACAAAGTATGACAAATTAACAGTTCTGCACAAAATTGAAATTACAATGGTGGGTGGGAAAGTTGCCACAGCACTGTCCACAGCAACAAAATCATCGCAATGCTGCTCAGTTTGTGGTTGCAATCCAAAAAAATGAATGACTTAAATACTACAAAAAATCTCCCAATTACTAAAACTGGACTCAATTATGGGCTTTCAACTCTCCATGCATGGATCAGAACAATGGAATGCCTTCTCAAAATAAGCTACAAATTAACAATACAGAAATGGTCAACATGAGAACCATCAGAAAAAAAAACAATTCAAGAAAGACATCAATTCAAAAAAAACTTCGTGATGAAGTTGGGCTTTTAATTGATTTTCCAAGGACTTGTGGTTCAGGATCTTCAAACAATGGGAATACTGCTCGACGATTTTCTCAAAATGCAGAGAAGACTGCTGAAATTCTCCAACTAGATGTCATCATCATTAAGATGTTGCATGTTATTTTGTGCACTTTATCGTCACAATATGTTATTGATTCTTCTCGATTTAGAGACTTCTGCATGCAAACAGCTGAACGATATGTGAACCAGTATCCATTGTACCACATGCCACAGAGCCTGCACCAAATTCTTATTCATGGTTGGCAAGTTGTGGATTGAATGGCTTTGCTAATTGGCATGCTCAGTGAAGAAGCCCAAGAAGCACATAACAAGAACTTCAAGAAGTTCCGGGAGTCTTTTTCAAGAAAGTGCTCCCGTTCTAAAACAAATGAAGACTTGTTAAGGAGATTGGTGTGTTCATCTGATCCAATTATTAGTAATTTGAGAACACCACATCATCCAAAGAAGAAAGTCTTTCCAGATGGAGTGCTAGAGCTACTAAAAGAAGTACCACTTAAAGATTCTGTGTAAATATATTATATTATTACATTTTTACTGCAATTTTACTTGAATTGTGTTTCTGTTTTCATTTTTTCTGCTTATCTGTTTACTATATTTTTATTGCTACAAATTAACAATGTTATAACGACATTTTGTTTACCCCATTGTAACTAAGGATATTGTAACTAAGCAATATAATTATCCATGGCAACAAAATAAAAAAATAGCACCTTCATAAAAAATGCACACATCATATTAGTACTCATGCAAATTTAGGGAATATAGCACTTGTAAAATATCTGTAAATACCAAAAATAGGTTGTTGCTAAGCAAAATAAAGGTATCCATAGCAACAAAATTAAAAAAAACACTTTCATAAAAAGTGCAGACATCATATTAGTACCCATGCTAATTTTAGTAGATATAGCACTCGTGAAATATCTGGAAATCCCAAAAATAGGTTGTTGCTAAGCAAAATAAAGGTATCCATAGCAACGAAATAAAAAAATAGCACCTTCATAAAAAGGGCAGACATCATATTAGTACTCGTGCTAATTTTAGTGATTATAGCTCTAATATTAAATTAGTTATGAATTTTGTCCAGTAAAAGTAAATTTTGGCCCACTGTGCGTTGTTAACAAGGCCTTATCATTATTATGTTTTTACTACTCTCACTTCCTAATATTTTACTTGCTTAAATATACAGAAAGTAATATTGACTTGTTTAGCCCAACAGAAAATTTTATTGACTTGTTCAAGCCTAACAGAAAATAATATTGGCTTGTTCAAGTCCAACAGAAAATAATATTTTGCTTATTTAAGCCCAACAGAAAAACCCTTCCCCCACCCCACCCCTAAAAAAAACAAAACAAAAAATTTAATCATTATAGTTCTTAATCTTGTAGAAGGGATGTAATAAGATATTTGGAGGTTTTTTGAGGTTTATAGACAAATTACAGGAAAAAATGTAAAATAAAGTTTTAATGAAATAATAATTCATTGGGATTTACTAAACTCGCAAGGATTTAAAAAATTTGAAAATTAGTTAAAAAAAGGAAAAGATTTGACTTTAATTCTATATCTTCAGTTCACTTTTAACTTCAAGTCTGCATCTTCAGTTCACTTTTAACTAAAATCTGTTTATGACTCAAATTTGAACAATATTGGTGTTTAATTGTTTTAAAGAATAGTATCAATAAAATTTTTATACAGCTCAAGCTGATTTTTTGCTTTGTTTTGTTTTGTTTCTAAACTAGAATTGAATTTTTTTTTATTTGGTTAGTTTTAACAGAATTTTGTCATAACGTCTGTTTACAAAAAATCCGGAATGAAAAATTGTTCTTAATTGAATACAAAATTAATCAATTTTTGACAAAAATTTTAACTAAAATGAGAGACTGGACATCAATAACTATTTTATAACCGAAAGTGGTCCTAAATCAGTGGCTTTTCGAACTTTAGTTTTAACTGAATCCATTAGGTTGAAAAAGTAGTCTGGATCGAACTCTTTTAACTTTAATCGAATTCTATTCTTAAGGTGGTCAAGATTTTTCGCAGTAAATCCATTTCCATAAACTTTTGCTTTTAAATGTGCCCAAAAATTTTCAATTGGCCTTAACTCCGGTACATTTAAGGGGTTATCTTTAGCGTTGACAAAGTTAATACTTAAAGTGTTGTAAGTTTCTAATGTGTGTTTTGCATAATGACATCTCGCTCCGTCAGGCCAAAATAAAATTTTTATGTTTTGATGCTTGGAATTTATAAATGGATGAAGTCTTTTTGTAATACATTCTTTAGAATAAGTTTTTGCATCCAGTGCACAGTTTTTTACAGCAAAATAAGGCGATGAATGACCGAAACGACTGATTGCAATCCAAATGAGAACTTTCTCGTCAAACTTTTTTTTGAAGTTGAATTTAATGTTAGGATCAGTTTGAGAACTATCCTTTGTATAGTAGCCAGAGTTTTGTGAACAATTTGCACCATTTACACAGAAATAAGATTCATCGTCCATGATGATTTCAAACTCATTTGATGGCTTGAAAAAAGTTTTTGAAAGTTTTAATAAATTTTTCTTTTGTTTAATTTCTTGCTTTTCTGTTGTTTTTGGTGTTTTTTTTCTTTTGGTATACTTCAGTCCATGCATACTTAATAATCTATTTACATATGAAACACTTATCTTATACTTTAGTGCCAATTTTCTTTGCGAAATTTTTTTTTTTTTTTTTTTTAACATCTTTACTTCCAACAAGGCTGCAAGCAACCACTATAAGAGTTGGAAGTTACTGGAAGAGAAAAGACTAAATCTGTAGAGCAAGATAACGATTGACTGATGACTTAAAAGATTGCAAATTATATGAATCAGGAAAGCAAGATGAAGGAAGCAAATTCCAAAGAACTGATGTTCGAGGAAAAAAACTAGAAGAATAAGAGTTTTTGAAGCACTTAAGAACAGTCACAGAAAAAGGATGAGACTTAATTGAATGGCGAGTAACACGAGAATGAATTTTAGTAGATGGCACAAGGGACGCTAGCTCTTTAGAGCAGTGCCCATTATAGTATTTGTAGAAAAGAGAAAGAGAAGCAACATTACGACGATGTGACAAAGGTTGGAGATTGGCTGCCAGAGCAGGTCCAACAAGCGAAATCCCGATTCTCTCTTCTCCTCTTGCAATCATGGACTCTATCTTTTCTGGTATGATTTTAAAAGGTTTTCTGCCGCAACCAATTTTTCTTTTCATTGGCAAATTATTTTCAGACCTTTTAATTATGTCATAAATTGTAGATTTAGCGATTCCCATTTTCTTAAAATGATCCACTGTAAATTTCTTTCCACTGTCTATGTTTTGTTTATAAAAATTTCCAATCACATTTCTAACATCGTTCTCTTTTAGATGCTCCATGTTTATTTGAATTAATTATTTAAACTCAATTTTGCCACAAAATGAAACTGTTGTTGTTGACCAATTAAATTTAAAAATTTCGAATCGAAAATTCGAAATTTAGAACAATTTGTGTACATTCGAAATCAGTCCGGATTTTTTGTGAACAGACGTTAGATGGAGCCATTTTTATTCTAAAAACAAGTTTTTTAAGTGGTGCTCATTGAATTAAAAATGGAAGCTCTGACATTTTTAGCATAATATAAAAAACCTTCAATTTTATTAAACAAATTGGTAAGATTCATTAAATAAATCCATTTCAACAAAAATAAATGGACTTATAATAAAATATAATATATTTATATAAAATTAATATAGTATATTATGATAAAAATTATTATAATATAGTATAATAAAGTTATTATAATATATTATAATAAAATATTATAATATATTTTAAATAAATGGACTTAATAATAAATATCAAGAGGTTGTTTTTTTAAATATTTTTTGTATTTTACATAAATTGTATCATTGTTGATTCCTAAATAAACAATTTGTAGGTGATACTGGAGAAATCAAAACCGAGGTTCGAGAACAAATCAACACTAAAGTTGCAGAATGGAGAGAGGAAGGAAAAGCAGATATTGTTCCTGGGGTTAAATTTATATTTTATTGTTTTAATTTTTTATTGTACTTATGTTTTCTTGAATTGTTAAAGTTTCATGTTTTGATTGTTTGTTATGCTCATGTTTTCTTGAATTGTTAAAATTTTAAATGGAATAGCAATAACAGTTTGACGGTTTGTGAAATGCATGTGGAGTGAACAGATTGATTTTTTTTTTTGTGTTTTATTTTTTTGTATGATATATTTTCTATTTACATAGACTTCTTGGTTTATTTAGGTATTATTTGTAGACGAGGTACACATGCTTGATATAGAATGCTTTTCTTTTCTTAATCGAGCATTAGAAAGCGATATGGCTCCTTTGCTAATAATGGCTACAAATAGAGGAATAACAAAGTAAGTTTAATTTTAAAATAGTTTTTATCCACAATTATAACATAAAAAACCTGGGAACTAATTTGATAAGTTTATGTGATTATTAATATCATAGAAGGATTATTTTTCACTGGAAATAGATATCTTTCAAAATAAAGGAAATTATAAATCTAAATCTAAAACTCTTTTTTATGTTGATGTGTTAAATTTGGTTATTTTGAAACAATTCATGATGGTTAGAGCATGGGAACTATAGTATCCCACTAAAAACTTAATATGTAAGAGATTTATAGTTTTTTCAGATTTATAATCGTGTATGATGATATAAATATGTAGATTTATAGTAAAATCGTGTATGATGATATAAATATGTAGATTTATAGTAAAATCGTGTATGATGATATAAATATGTAACATTTTTATATAAAAAATTCTTCAAATTTCATTTTCAAAAAATTTCAAAATTGTAAGCTTATATTCTTTATGAAACTAAATCCTCCAGTTTTGTTTGAATTTGTTACTCCAGAAACGAAGTATACTGTCTTGTTTATCTATGCTTGTTAATCCAACACAATTTAAAATCCAAATTAAATCAACAGAAAATTGATATTTTACAAAAATATGCATAAAAGTTGTCTAATTTTCAATTTTGAACCCTAAAATTAAAGCTTAAAAACTTAAAACTTTTTTAGTTTAAATTTTGATTTTTTCTTGGTTTTGTTTTACCATATTTTCCAAAAAAAGATTATGGTTTGGACTGTCCAAAAAAAAAAAAAAAATAGTTATAAGTTGTGAGAAATTATAGCAGAAAATATGTATTTATGTCTTTCTTATGATCTTAAAGATTCCAAAGCATCAACAGTTAAATGTAAAGCCTCTAATGGTGAAACTAAAGAATCTTTACAAAAAAAGACTGAAGAACTTCACCATTTCTTGATCAAGACTCCAATTTAACAAAACAAAGCTTTCTCAAATGTTTTTGATTGTATCAAAAAAGAAATGGCTGAATTTGAAGGATCAAATGATCGTCCAAAAATGCTTAAAAAATTGCATTGTACTTTAAAGTTTTTATCGGCATTATCAATTGTTACAGAAAGATGTTTGTGCTCTAGACTTTTTTTTATTACAAATTTGAAAACATCTTTGAGTGATGAATTAATGGAAATTTTAACTTTTCAGCTTTCTATCTTGAAAGTTTAGTTAGGTTATGAATTTTTATACCTAAATAGTATTATATCGCATTAAAATGTATTATTAGATGTACTTTTTCCTACTTAAAAATACTTAAGTTACTTTGAAAAAAAAAATTTTTTATTACTTGTACACCCCTAATTTCAATCTTATTGTCTGATGATATATATATTAATATTTGATAATAAGTTTCATTCTTGAAAAAAAAAAAAACTTTTATTGTTATCTTTAAAATCGTTATGGCTCAAAGTCACTTATGATTTTTATGGAAGTTTTTATGTGTTTTAAATTAATTGTATTTATACAGAATGATGTATAAAATAAGATATGTTTGGTAAACTTAACAAAACTTATATATTAAGTTTAATACAAACATTTTATCAATTAAACTTTCGTCAATCTATTGAGGTCAAGATCTTATCTATTAGAAACAACACTAGGACCTACAAAAGTATTGTTGTGGAAACTATTTGCTGTCTTATCATTTCATTTTTTAAATCGTCAATGATTATTAGCATTTATATTTATAACATCAGTGAATCAGTATTATATATGATCACATAGAAAGATTGGTCACATAGAAAAACAGAATACATAATGTATCATTAGCATTCATATTAACATCAATGTTATCCACAGTTTGATGATGTAATTTGGCTTGCAATCTTTTCTGTTAGTCAGATCCGTGTAAGCTTTTTTGCAATTGCTTCAATCATTTCAAAGTTGTTGCATTTTCAATATCTTCAATTATTTGAAAGTTGTCACTTTGAAATGAATAAAGTTGTTGCATTTGTAATTACTTCAATCATTTCAATGTTGTTGCATTTTCAATAACTTCAATTATTTGAAAGTTATTATTTTGAAATTATTGAAGTTGTTGCATTTGCAATAACTTAAATTATTTTAATGACTTTTTTTTTCATTGAAAAAATTGAAATAAAGTCATTCTAGGTTTCCATTTTTTCTAGATTTCCAAAATTTCAGATTTCCACTTCAGATTTCCTAGATTTCCAAAACTAGATTTCCATTTTTGAGAATATAGCAAATTATGAGTGTAAGCTGTTTTATGTGACTGGTTCCAGGAGTTAAAATGATGCTGATTCCATAATACCTGGTCCAAAGTATTTAATAATTTCAGAAATTATTGAATACTTAGAATCCTAATAAACCAATAAATCTCATATATTTGCAGGAAGGTATGAAACATTCCCCTATCTGAGATTTCTTTAAAAATAGATTAGATCAGTGCAACGATAGTTTCTATTGTTAGGACTGTTGATTACAAATATGCGATTATCACTGCAAAAAACTAATATTTTCAGCAAGAAATTTGATCACTGCATTAATCCCCAGTATTTGCACAATTTTGCGCCTAAAGTCAAAAATGTAACAACAGATGTCAAAAAAGAAACAAAGATGTTCCATTTAATGCATAAGAAACAACTGTCAACAAGCCTTTTTAAAAGTAATTATAGTATAGAGTAGGGTTTTTTAAACTTTTTGATTTACAACCTCATTTATGACTGGAGGTTTTTTCGCGACCCAAGATAACTATAAAATAAAAATATTAAATATTTTGTGTTTATTTATTGATCAGGTAACACTACACATTCAATAATAAACAACAATAATCATCATTTTATAAAAAAGATTAAGAAAAAAAAAAATTATAATCAAAAAATCTTGTTGAATTTCTTTTTTATATATATATATATTTAGTTAAAAAATGTCATTTTCTGTTCACTAAAATCTAAAATAATAATTTGCTTATAAAACGATTTATAATTTTGAAATTTTTATATAATTTCGCTTTTTTTTTTTTAATATGTTTTTAAAACTACCCTACCCTTTATTATTGAAAGATTTTACAGTCTTATAAAAAATATTAAATATATATGGTTTTTAATTCATTTTTTTTTAACTGTTTCTATCGATACCAACGTACTGGAAAGCGCAATTAAACAAAAAAATATATATTAAAAATGACATTAATCATCTAAAATATTGTGTAATAAATGTTTTCTTTCAATATTATCTAGGTTTTTTTTTTTTAAAAAGGAAATAACAGAGCTCATCAATCTTTATAAACTAAAGGAAATAATTGAAGCAGTTTTTTTATAGAATTCGTGGTACTAATTACAAAAGTCCTCACGGACTTCCAATAGATCTACTTGATAGACTTTTGATAATATCAACATCGCCTTATGAGGAGAAAGATTTGGAACAAATTTTGAAAATAAGGTTTGAACATTATATTGCTATCATTTTTATAACTATTTTTCAAATTTTATTATTTTATTATTGATTCATTTATATAAATATATATATATATATATATATATATATATATATATATATATATATATATATATATATATATATATATATATATATTATAAAACACAAATTAAAATAACATAAAAAGTATTATATAAATTAATTTTTTTTATCTTAATAGATGCGAAGAAGAAGATGTTGAAATGAGTGAAGATGCGTTAACAGTTCTTACAAAAATTGCGCAAGAAACTAGCTTACGATATGCTATTCACCTTATCACATCATCTAATTTATGTTGCCGAAAAAGAAAGGTAATAGCATCTTTTTTCACCTCTTTTTCTTTTACGCTCCATTTTTTTGTATTACGCTCTTTTTTTTAATTTTACATACTCATTCTCTTAATCTATAAAAAATTAAATTGACTTAAAGGGCACAGAAGTTGACGTGGAAGATATTAAGAAAGTATACTCGCTTTTCTTCGATCAAGGACGCTCCACGCAATTCTTAAGAGAATATCAACAGGAGTTCATGTTTAACGAAGAGGAATTAACGCCATCTATGGACATTTCATAACTCTTTATAGGTCATTACTCCCAAGTTTTTTATCTCTTTTGTTCCGAACAAATTTTGTAAAGTTGATGTAAAATAGTTTAGAAGATCAAAAAAGCTCTAAGTTATTAAAACTTTTAGTTCCCTTAAAAATGGCGTGAAATTTTAGTTCCCTTAAAAATGACGTGAAAAATGTTTTCAGATAATAACTAACTATAGATGTGTGTGCAATTTTTATTTATAACAAAATACTACATTAAAAAAATTGTATCTACGCAAATCAAATTCCCTATATACTTTAAATGACTAATTAAACGGTAGTTTCTGCATTTCATCTTTAAATATGCCAGTAGTTAACCTCATTTGGTAAGTTTACTATTAATTGACATAGAATGATTTAAAAGTTGTGAAATATATTAGTCTAATATAATAGTGCTTGGTAAGTAAATAGACGAAAGTTCTCAATTTACCAGGTTTCGAAGCATGACATCACTTGTTACTATGCCCATCTTCCAAGCTCCTATACCTGTGTTTCCCAAATAGCAAAATTTTGATTCTAAACTTTTCGTAAAAAAACGATGCTTTTGACATAAGCCAAAGCAAAAATTTGAACACGGACTCCCATCAGCTTCAACTTCCTCGCTTTCTATATACGAATCAAGTTGATCTTCTTTAAAGTTATTACTAGTCGTGACATGATGATGATCGTATATTGTTGAATCTTTACTAACTAATGGCTGGTCATCTTTTTGTTTTGTTTCTTCATCTGAAATAATTTTATCTACCATTTCAGAAAGAAGTGTTTCCACTTCTTGTTGGACTTTTCTCGTTTCTTTGCTTTCTTCGGCCATAATTTCTTTAAATGTTGAGGAGACGAAATTTTCTTTTTGAAAAAAAAAAACGGCGCTTAAAAATATTGCTTGACGACAAACGTTTAATTCTTTCTCTTAACTTAAAACAGAACTCTATAGTTGAAAAGCAATTTTTGTCTCCACGTGATAAACTAGCAATAATTTAGTGTTTCTATATATAAACAAATCTAATTCAACGGAAGAAATAAACGTTCGTCTTCCCTAATTAATTATTAATGCCATCCAATTGAAAATATTTAAAAATTTATCAATATTCTTATTAATATTCCGTTATATTTTCAAACAATGAATTTCTGTTAGAAATTACTTTTTTTTTTTTTTTTTTTTTTTGACTTGTTATTTGGTAATGTTAATTTTGAAATATATCGTAGATTTGTCTATTTCCAATCAGTTTCTAATTCCAAATAGGTTTAGTTCTCTTGTTAAAGTCTCTTATAATTTTTTGCGAACTTTAAAAGAAAAATTAATAAATTGGAATACTAGACTAATGAGAATATAAAAAAATATTCAAAAACGTATATTGAAACCAAGAATTTTTTTATATGCAGGTAAAACACTTTTTATAAGCCTAAAATACCATCAAAGTATAGCTATCCTATGTGATGAGATCGTAAGAACCTCTTGGGGCACCTTAAATACGACGATAACAACAACAACAAAATTTTCGGCCATTAAATCTTAACATGTATGGTCATCTATACAGGAATAATAAGTAGTAATATCTGATATATTAGTTATGTGTATAACAATGTCAAATTGATTTCATAATGATGACAATTAAAAGGGAAGCATTAATATAATATGAATAAACAAAATTCTTGAAAAAATGGTCTTTGGTTGCTATAATAACCACAAAAACATATAAAAATAGGCAATAAATGCATTTACACCGGTCATAAAAACCAAATAACCGTGCAAGATCTCTTAATAACCTTTTACCACCTAGTGGGCGAAAGACGTTTAAAAATAATACATGTTAATACGTATTGTATACATTTAAAAAATGTCTTGTGCCCACAGGGCAAATGCTTGAGAAAAGGCCAAATGGCGTTTTGATAGCGGCATTTTCCTGCTACTAAAAATATGAGCACTGTGTGCTCATTAAAAATGAGCGAAAAAATTTGATATTCAAAATATTAAAAAATCATAAAATCTAAAACTCGGATTAAAAAACAGTTCTATTAAAATGTAGCTTATAATGAGAGAAACAACTCAAAATTTTATCAAAATTATTCAAACGTTTCTTGAGAATGACCGGTGTGTGAAAAAACTTTGAGAAAAAGCGAAATAAAATAAAAAATTAGCGAATATTAGCTTTAAAACAGATTAACAACCAAGTTTCAAAAATTTGGGTCAAAAGCAAATTATAGTTAAAAAGTCTAATAAAAAGTACTAGAAACCTCCTGCTTCATACAACTTCCCTTCTTTTTCATTTTTTTTATCATTCTTGTGTTTTTTGCCACAAATAATTTTTCGTCGCAACTTGTTTTTATCAGCATTTCTGTATTTGGCTGACATTAATAGTTCAAGTTTTTTACAACCTATGAGTATATGCTTTTGGAATCATCGTTAAAGATTCAAAGACTAAAATTAAAGTTTTTTTTTACCGGTATTAAAATTAGCCACTGCATTATACACTCTAATTTCTAATTGGCTGGATGATATAAACTTTGTTTTACATAGACGCTCCTAGACTGTGCCATAAAAACTTTTGTTAGCATTTTGTGTCTTACCATGTACGCACTTTTCAACTATTTGTCAGCTTTCATAGAAAGTAAATCATCTACATTACTTCTAATCACAAGACCAAAATAACTTTGAACCAACCTTTTGTGGCATTTGTTAATTCCATATCGATCTTTTAACGTTTTCAGACAACACAAGGGATTTTCCATCATGGTACATTGGAAAAGTTCTTTAAAAATATCAGATAACTCTTCTACATCTACAACTCTATATCCAGACAGTAGATTATTATTAGCAAATTCAACTGCATCTGTTTGTTGTATTTTTAGATATGATATTGAGAAATTTACAGCAGCATCAGAAGCGTATTTTTATTTTCATCATATGCGCAGTTTATCACAGTGTTTATTAAAATATCTACGATTGGAGGAGATTTTTTATATACACTAACAACAACAATTTCTTCTTCATAATTAATGACTTTTTGACAGGAAAATATCCACGTCTTCTTCTAGCAAAAATCGTTTGAGCTTTTACTCTGCAATTTTTGGCATCTTTTGCTTAATTAAATAACTTTTTTCTATAAATGTTTTTGTCTTCTAATCTTGCTTGCTTTCGCTTAGCTGAACAAAGAGTACAACAGAATGATGCATCATAACCCAAATAAAGCTTTTCAAAACAGCTTTTAGAAAGAAAAAAAAATTACGACTGAAAAATAATGCTTTTGATAAATCAAAACATGAAATTTTTCTTACAAACCTAAAAATTCTGTAGTTTAGAATGATTTTTATGTAAAATAAATTACAGAAATGAAGTTTATGGTCATTTTATTAAGGGGAAACCTAAAGTCAATAAAATAAATTTAGCATATTTCTAAATAAAGAAGGCTCTATAAACGAAATCAAATTGTTAAAATTACATGTAATGAAAAGATTTAAAATAATTCGACAAACTAAAAATAAATACACGTGTTATTTTGCATTAATTGATATTTTAATACGAAAATGAAGTTCTCCTAAAACATTTGCAACTTTTTTATAACTCTAAAAGTTAAATAATTACTAATTATTTAATTAAAAATTACTAAAATCAATAACTAATGTCCCATCTTTTACCTGCCCCATCTTTTAATGCTACATCTTTTTTTTTCGAATCACGTACTTTTTATCATCTTATGAAGAGGTCTTACTCCACTAAACTTAGTCAAACAACCCCAAATTCACTTTTTCCACTGTTATGCTTGACTACTCCTCTTATGAATTTAGAATTTTTTTTATTTTTATTATACTTTTTGTTTTTTTATTTTTTTATTTATTTTTTAATTAGTTACCTTTAGGTGTGCGTATTTTTAAATCGGCATCATTATCGTTTTTAACCATTAATAGCTCAGTGTCTATGAGTATTTACAAATACAACTCTAGCTTTACAATTCTTAGGAAAGAAAAAAAACTTTTTTGCTGCTCTGAACCTCATAATTCCTAAAAAACCAACTGCAAAAATTTTCTATAAAACTGACATTTTCCACAGAGACTTTAGAACCCATTTATTACTTTTCAGTCGAAAAACTAAAAGCAACACGGTCATAGATTTGTTAAAAAATCTTTAGACTGAAGATCTTGAAAGCAAATAATCATTAAATAGTAAACTATCATGAATTGATTTTTTTGGTAATGTAATGTTTCCAGACCACTGCAGTGGTTACTTTTTTTGACCTTAGACGACTAATTCCTTTTCCAATGCATCAGAAAATGAATTAGTCATCTATGCCCAAAAAAGTATTCTGTTCATCAAACATTTGAGGAGCCCATCTGAAAAACGCACTTAGTCACAAAAATAAAAATTTTGAGTTAATTCTATTTCCACGTTCTATATACTTAAATCTATTATCTATTTAAATATTGGACCAATTTAAAAATTTTTGCTACTAAAAATGGACAAAGTAAATATCAATTTCTGTTGATGCGCTACTAAAAGTAGTTTAGTTTTTTGTTGTTTTCTCAAAATCAGTTTACTCGGACTTAGCGCGTTTTGCAAATGGGCTCCTCATTTGATTTTTTTCAAAGGAATAAAAAAACATTTTTTAAACTAACAACACATTATTACAGAGGAATTTGGAAAAGACCTTTTTTTTTTATTTAATTTTGATATATAAGATAAATTTTTAAAAAGTTGTAACGATATCGAAAATAATCAGTTTTAATATATTTTCTGTTGTAAAGAGTTGCTTTGAAAATATTTTATATGATTCATATGCAAAGGATATTGAGAAATGTTTTCAAGCTGAAAGAATTGTGACTTTATGCCAGATTTTAATTCTAAGTTTTTACTAGTATAGAAATTTTATATAATTAAAGCTTATCTAGAAGATTGTTTTAACAAGTCATCAGTTGTTCATGGAATACTGAGCGAAAAGACTTTAGACTGTTCACAAAACCATCAGCTAAACATTGAGGCAATTTTTTAGTTTCGAACCTTTACTTTTGAACAATGATTGTCACATATTGTGAATTGAGGGTTTATGTAAACCATTGTAAAACTGAAACTGTAGAAACTGGCTGTAGAACTGTAAAAATTAAAAATAAAAAGTTTGGATAAATGAATCAAATTTATAACTTTTTTTTTAACTTTTAAGATTATTAACTTAAAAAGATAAACAGCAAAATGAAAGAAAATAGTGAAATACTAAAAAAAAAGTAAACTTAAAAGACCGATCTTTAGCTTAAAAGACCGGTCTTGAGAATCGATAGTTTAAAAAAAAAGCAAAAATAAAAATTAGAGTATCAGTGTGAATTTAATGTACAGTAATGTTTTGAAAATTCTGATGCTTAAATGTATAAAAAAATTAATAAGGCACATTGGGCTTAACAGACAAAAAACTCGAAACACTCTTTATAAAACTACGATAAGCATTATTATCTTTTTAGTTTATTTTTCTTGATTAAATTTCATTTTAAAACGTAAACGGATTTTACATAAGTTTACATATTTTTACATAATTTTACATTCTTGATTAAATTTTATTTTAAAACATAAATGGATATTACATAAATATTCATCACCTAATTTGCTACTTATGCTAAAGATATTAGACTCAATGATATTGACATAAATAATGTGGAAACTGTTATAATAATAAAAAAAAAATTCTAATAAATATAGTAAAAAGGAATGAAAAATATAAACTCTTATTATTATAATTCAATTATTCCAACCTTCAATACTAAAAGATATACTAATACCAGACGCATCCGCAAAAAAACATAACAAATTTTAAATATCACTGTTTAGCATCTAAATATATTTCCGATTTATATGTATGTATATATATATATATATATATATATATATATATATATATATATATATATATATATATATATATATATATATATATATATATATACAGCATTTAATCAAAGTTCACGTCTGCAAAAGCATTTAATCAGAACTTAATCACGATAACTAAATCAGGAATTCAAAAAATCAGAATGTTCACGCCATCTTCCTTATTAATGAGGCATATATAAATATAGCCGGCCTTAAACCACGGACCTTTAGTTTTGAAGCTAGAATACTTCACTACATCTGCTCTAAATTATATTTTACATCTTACAAAAGCTTAGTGTCAAGACTCAACTTAATAATTATTAAATTGAATCTTGACACTATTTGAAGTTATTCATCAAACTAGAGAAAGTGTAAAATCCGGTGAAGAAGAGTGTGTTTTAATCCATTTTCCTAAAATTTCAAACTACATATAGAATTATGCTTAATGACAAACAAGTATAAGAAACTATAAAAATAATAAACGGCACCAGCAAAAACTTCGATTTTATAAACGTTAATTCTATTAAAAAGGCGTTTGTTAATACAGGCCAAATAATTGACTTCAAAAGTTAGGCTAAACCTTTTCTAAATAAAAAAGTCTCTAAAAAAATTACCGTTCTCCTTTATTCACAGTTATGTCTCCTCCTTTATTCACAGTTATATATCTTACTACAATATTGCGTGGGCTAGTTCAAGCCATACAAAACTAAAGAAACTTTACAATAAGTAAAAACATGCGTGCAAAATAGTATATAAAGTCGACAGAAATGTTCCTTGCAAACCACTTAAATATGTGCTTGGTCTTTCATTGTGTATGAATTCAACTTACACCAAGTTTTGTTGTTTGTGATTAAAACAAAAATGAGATAAAGTATTTCAATCTTGTTTTCGTAAAATTAAGCATAACCATTCAACAAATTTTTCAGAAAACAACTTTGTTGTTCTAAAATACAAGTTGAAGTTAACTTTCGACTTGACTGAATGCTACTTTATCTGTGGAAAAAATTTCCAGATATTGTTAACAAATAGAAGATTACATCAGAGCAAATAGAAGATTACATCAGAGCAAATAGAAGATTACATCAGAGCAAATAGAAGATTACATCAGAGCAAATAGAAGATTACATCAGAGCAAATAGAAGATTACATCAGAGCAAATAGAAGATTACATCAGAGCAAATAGAAGATTACATCAGAGCAAATAGAAGATTACATCAGAGCAAGTAAATCAATGCGATTATTATTATTCATGAATCTCATAATATCCGACAATTTTTTTTAAAGTAAACTCAATCAAATAAATGTTATATATTTCTTAAACATTTTATCAATTGTATTTTAACTCTTCTTAATTATTTGTTATTTTTATTTTCTTTATTCTAATGATCCGTGAACAATAATCGCATTAAATCATTTATAATTGCTATTTTTATATTTGTGTGCTGCAATTATGTAGAACTTTTTAAATGGAGCTCGGCAATAAGGCAAAATGTACATCCTTCTTACTCCATTTTTTATTTGTAATACATGTATTACAAATAAAAAATGTTACAAATAAATTTTTTTTTTCATGTTTACATTGCATATAGAATGTTTACATTGCATATGGAACTTTTTAAATGGGGCGATAAGGCAAAATGTACATTCTTCTTGCTCCATTTTTTATTTTTAATATATGTATTACAAATAAAAAAATGTTTTTAATGTTTACATTGCATATATGCAATGTAAACATTAAAAAAACAAAAAAAACATCAGCTCTATAATAAGTATTAGTAAGCTAACAATTATAATAATAAGCTAATAATAAGTAAGAGGATGATCCTAAAATCTAGACGAGTAACTTGTGTCTTAAAGGTTACAGTTTTTTTTTATATATACTACCTTAATAAGAACATATTATTAAGTTCTTGTTACTCATGCTTATCTTTATTTTATCATTAAAGCAGAGGTTTTTATGCAAACATATATATATATATATATATATATATATATATATATATATATATATATATATATATATATATATATATATATATATATATATATATATATATATATATATATATATATATATATATATATATATATATATATATATATATATATATATATATATATATATATATATAGAGAGAGAGAGAGAGAGAGAGAGAGAGAGAGAGAGAGATAAATAGATAGAATGGAAAAAAATTATTTATTTATATAAGATATATATTTTTTTCAGTTAAAAAAAATCAAAAAGAGTCACTGTGCTGATTAAATTCATCTTTCTCATAATACTCCTGAACCATTTGATGGACATAAACGTACTTTAGGTTGCTTTTATTGGCCTAATTAATAATTAAAATTATTTTGATAAAATCATTTTATTAAAATTATTTTATTTAAGCATTAATTTAAATTGCATTATAAAAAACAACGAGGTAAAAAATTTATTGAGCAGACGTTTTAAGTATCAACTACTTCTACAAGGTTATCCATAAAATCATTTTCATAAAATCATTTTCATAAATTTTCATACTCTATCAGCATCTTGTTCTTTTTCTAAACCTTTTGTACATAACTTTTCAACAATGACTTTAATATATGAATTTTAAGAAAAGTTTTTCAATTCAATGTAAATTTATGTAACTGAGTTAAATTCTGATATCATAAAAATAAAATCTATCGATTTTTAATTCTAAACGCAAACTTTAAAATTTATCAACCCTTTCAGACCCAACAATTCTATTTGGAGCCATTTTTATTTTTTGTCTTTATTAGTAGGTATAGTTGGTTTTCATTTACTTCTGGAAGTTTTTTAAATATTCTAAGTCATGCATGTTCCACATATTATTTAGGAGACTTTTGTGAAACAAAATCAATATGTCTGCTATACTTTGAACATCGTTCAAAGTTATAAGAGACTTATTGATTTATAATATAATTTCAACATTGTTTACTTTTAGAAGTTATTTTGAACTTTTCTTTTAACTAAAAAATCTTCAGTAGGTATATATATATATATGTAAGTATATATATTTTTATTTTTGATAATATATTATCAAAAATAAAAATATTAAAAAAAAAAATTCTTTTTAAATTTTAAATTATTTTAAATTATTAGCAAAAACAAATTTTATAACGTGATTGAATCGTAAATGCTTTATGAATTAATATCAAACATTTTTAACTTTTAAAATATTTAAAAAAAAATTTAATTTAGTAAAAATAAAAATTTAAACTTTAAATCTTTTTCTATTTCATAAAGGGACTTTGCTCAATAAGATAATGGTAAAGTAAATGTAAAATCTATAGTGTAAATGGAGTATACGAAAACATATAAACAAATATTAAAAAATAATAATATAAAAAAAAAATCTTTTAAAATTTTAAATATTCTTAAATTATTAATAAATTTCGTATAACGTGATTGAATTTCAAATGCTTTATGAATTTGTTTCATACATTTATTTTTATCTTTTAAATTATTTAAAAGATTTTTAATTTAATAAAAATAAAAATTTTAAATTTTAAATCTTTTTCTATTTCACAAAAGGAGTTTGCTCAATAAGATAATGTAAAATTAATGGGAAGGGTATAGTGTAAATGTAATGTATGAAATAAATAAAAACTATTTTATTGCAATGTTTGAAAAATATTGATAAATATTTTTTATTGTAAACAAAAACAAATATTTTATTTTAAATTTTGAACTAATGGTTCGAAGACCTAACGGTCTTGTCGCAGAGCACAGCGGAAGACCTAACGGTCTTGTCGCAGAGCACAGTGGAAGAGCATTTAACAAGAAAGTTCACGCTTCCTTCCTTAGCGAAATATGCCCAGAGCTCGCTACCCAGGGTCTCTCGCTTTTAAAGCAAGCGCTCTAACCACTGCGTCACGACCACCTAACTTAAATACAAAAGTTTTTAAGTTTTGAGAGCTAATAAAAATATTTTTATGTTAGATAGTAGGATGAAAGTTAAGTTTTTTAGTTTAGTTTAAGATTCCAATTGCCCTGTCCGTTTTATAAAGTAAAGATGGAGATTCCAATGTATTATAAAACAGAAAGGAATTAACATGTCATGAAAATAAAATATTGTGTAACGTGCTAAAATTATATGCATATATATATTGAATTATTATTTGTTTCATGTTTAAAGCAACTTTTTTTGAAGTGACAAAATATTTCTTTATGGTTTATCTTAAGAATGCCTATTAATATTGTAAAGTGTGTATTATTACTGCACATAACACAAACTGATTCGTTTGTAACATGTAAAGCACCAACTGATTTAATTGTTGCAAATCGACACTTGATGACCTTAATAATCCAATTGTTGGGCAATGGCATTCTAACTCTCTGTTTGTTTTATTATTTATGCTAAGGTTCGATTTACATTTTTAAAATATAAATTATAAAAAGTGTGCGTGCACATGTACTGCATACATACGACAAAGAAATGGAAATTATGCTCGAATGTATACTGAAAAGAATATGCAAGTAATGTAAATATTTGAAAATATATATTAAATGTACACTAGCGTTAGTGAGGTCCATGTATGTTTATTATTGAGGTCCATACATGTTTATTATTTAATGTATATTTTTGTTTATATAATTATAGGCTTTTGCTTTCGAAGAACAATTTTGCATTAACATTTCTAAACTTTAAATTTTTTCAAATAATTTACTTTACTGCTAGAATGTTCTGCATTTCTATAGCACGGAGAAGAATAAATAAAAAAAAATGCCGACTGATTTTTTATATAATCATTAAATGCAATTATTCTAGTATAGTAGCGTTGATTACAAAAGAACCAAATATAAAAAATATTTGGAATAATTATAAGTTCTCAACTAAAACTTCTTTTTTAAGCTTTCAAAAAACGTTTTTTCACCTTTGGTTCACAAAATATACAAGTAAACGTTAATTTTCCATGGTTTCACGGACGCCTATTTTTCAACCAGAGACGATTCTAGAATTAAAATGAATGGCGAATCATAAAAAAGTACCATCTACTCTCTAAAAGAATGTCAAATGTCCGATTTGTAGGTGTTTAATGCCAGACTTAAATGTGTCAACGACCAAACTAATCGACTATGTTCCTCAAAAAACCGACTATAATTTAAAAATCAACTTTATTTTTGTCCCACAACCGCTTACCGTAGAACTGCCTCTGTTTTTAACAACCCTATTTAAATCAGTTATTGATTGTCAATTTTAACTCAACATATCTTTTTAATTTTAAATAAATATATCATTGGTAGTATTAAGAAGCTTTAAGTTTCGTAATCGATCAGGGTGCATTATGGATCTGAAATAATTTTTTTTTGCTAAATGTTTGTTCATTTGATAACATTGCATTTTAATATTACCTATTAAATGCGTTTTTTAATACATAATTATTTTCGAAGATTTTTTCTATAAAACTGTGAGAGCCATGGTCCCCGGGTGCAGCGGCGGCTTCGGCTCCCGTTGTATTTTTTCCACTAGATATTTACTTTTTTTTGCGACATTTTTTCTCTCAACTAAATAAAAAGTTTTTATTTTATGATTGAGTTACTTTAAAGACGCATTAAACAAAAAAAAACTAAATGCGCTTATTTTTTTTTTTCAAAAAAAACACCCTGTACGTTATAATTAAATGTTAACAACAACATCAACAACATACGTAATAAAAGATAACAACAATATACGTAATAAAAGGTAGCAGCAACAACATACGTAATAAAAGGTGGCAGCAACAACAACAACTTACGTTATAAAACGGTAATAACAACATACCTAATAAAAGATAACAACATGATAATTTTTGGGGAAAAAAAATTGCAACGTATTTTACGTTGTAAAATAAATAGCTATAATGATAATCTTATTAAAAGTATAGTAAATAACTATACTTTCAATAAGAAGGGGCAAAAAAACTGTTTAAAAAGTACATTAAATGCTAATAACCGGAGCTTACTATTCATAAATAGCAACTATCTTAATGACATAACTTTTATCATAGATAAAAGATTTTATAACATGTTTTAGTTTTTCGGGACAAACTTTGTTTCAAAAATATTAATTTAGACAATAGAAAAGCCTTAAAGAAAAACCAAGTGGTTTCCATACACAGACAGGAAATCTGCAATAAATCTAAAAATAAACCTAAATGCAGTCGAACAGTAAAAATAAATATTTATTTCCGAACTTATCAATACAAATACTTTTACATTGGTCTAGTTTTAATACCTAATTAGTACCTCCCATGTTCCGTTCCAGTTATAAAAATAAACACATTAAAAGTATTAAGATCCCCTTGCAAGCATTGAAAAGTACTTTTCAGTCATTAACTTAATAATTAATCTATATTAAACTGAACAATGCGTCAAATGTGTGTCACGTGGTGCAATTAATTTCTAAATATGTAAAATGAATTTTATAACTTTTAATAACGTTTTTAACAACTTAAGCGATGCAAAAAAAAACGAGCTTCTAAATGAAAATTTATACTGCGAGTTTATTAGTTCTAACATAACGTCTGATCAGAGAATAGAAATTATTAATGGTAAAATACTTTTAACTTCATTTTTTTTTTTTTTTTTTGTATTACTCATGGAAATAATACGTTTTTTTTAAATTTAAGAACCAGGTATTGATTTTGTTTTTAATCATTCAACAACCGATGAACTATGTGTAAATCAGAACGTGCATGAAAATATCAGCGCTGTATTAAAAAATTCTCGCATCTTTGAGCAATTCCATAGAAACACAACGGAGATGGTTGTGACAAAACAAGGAAGGTTTTTGTATTTTGAGTTTAATTTCTTTAAATGTGAATGAGTTTTTATTAGCAAAACAGTTTCTCTAACTTTAAAATTTAAAATGTATACAATCAGAGGAATTGTTAAAAAATTAAAATTTATTTAGACGAATGTTTCCAGCACCGGAGATTATTTTATCGGGATTGGATCCAAATAGATCATATATTATTTTTATGGATATTGTTCCAGTTGACAATGCAAAGTACAAATGGACAAACAAAAATTGGATAATGCATGATAAAAACGACAATTGTTGGTCTTCAGAAATATTTGTTCACCCAGACAGTCCTCTTTTAGGTTTGCAATGGATGAAAAAATCAATAAGTTTTAAGACTCTGAAGCTTACCAACAACTCATCTAACTCAAAAGGAAATGTAAAATTTTTAAAATTATACACAAACTTATTTTATCAAATTAAAGTTTAAAGGAAGAAAAAAAGGTATCGATAAATATAATTTATTTACTTAAACATTTTAGATTCATTTGAGCTCGATGCACAAGTATCAACCTCGTATTCATCTTATACAAACTTGCGATATGCATTTGATCAATTTTCAGCCTTTTTGTACTTTTGTTTTTAAAGAATGCCAGTTCATCGCAGTTACAGCATATCAAAACCCTAAGGTGGGTTTGTCATCATATTAAGATTCTTTAAAAATCTTGGAAAAAATTTTTTTTTTCGATCATTAAAAAATCATAGTAACGATATTAAAAAAAACATAGAAAGTATAAGTTAAAAATTTATAATAAATAAAAATATGCTTAACTTTACTATCTTTACTATTTAGATTACAGATTTAAAAATTAAATACAACCCGTTTGCAAAAGGATTTCGAGATGAGTTAAATAAAAAGGTTCCTTTCAAACTAGTGCGTTCCAAAAAGCCGTCTGCGAAAAAACGAAAAATCGATGGTAAATATTTTCATTTGTATTTAATTAACTAAAAACTATTATTACTATATTTCTTTTTTTAGAAAACCTTATTCTTATTTTCAAATATTTTTCCTCTACAGACAAGTTAAACACAAAACAAACCTTAGTAAAAAAAGAACTGCTTCCAATTATTGAACAATTAACAACTTTATCGTCATCAGAAGGGCTTGAACTGTCAGCTGAAATGTTAATCGATGAACTTACCCTTCCCGGATCAACTTCAAGAAAAAACTTGGAGCTTCTTTGCCAGCCTTATTCTAACTCCATCCCTTTCAATCACACAATTGCAGAATCAAGTTTCACATAAAAATCAATTTATAATAACAACTTCATGTAAAATTTTATTTGAATATTTTCATGAAAAGTAATAAATAATAACATTTTTAAATAATAGTTTAACAATTAATAATAGATATGTAAATAATGTGAATATAAAAAAATATTATAAAAAGACTTAGATATTGTTGATTCGTTGTTTATACAACTTCATAGTTTTTTTCCCTGAGATTTTAGACTAAACAACCAACCAAAGCTTTAGGGGTTGGTGCAAACCTTCACAATTGACATCGAATGCATTTTTATTTTATCAAATCTTAATGCGCAAAAGAACATTATTTGATAAGATATTTATATGATAACAATCTGAAAGATATTGTTTACACTACAGGAATAAAATTGATTTAAGTTTTATCTTTTATACAACAACGGCAATAAAAACCCATTAAAATTTTCTTTATCAAATTTGTGTTGTTGCTGAACCGCAGTTTTGCAATTCTTGTATAACATCATAACATCATTTTGAATTCTTGCATAACAACATCTATGAATGTTATTATTCACTGATGTTATGCACTTTATTTAAATATTTGCTTCTTTTTTGGCTTCAGTTTTTTATTTCTTCAAGATATTTTTTGCTGTTTATACAATTAATATAATAAAATACAAAAAACGTTTTCAAATACAAATAAACGTTTTCATAAAAAGAAAAAAAGGTTTACATAAACAGGGGCTCAAAGAAGATACGGATGACCGGAGTCACCACAGTTTTTTCATAGAACTTTTATTTGGGCTTTTAACATGTGTAAAGTAAAATAAAATTGTTATAAAAAAATTATAAAACTCCGTTGAAATATGAAAAAAATAACCATCTCTGATATATATATATATAGAGTAAAGGAAGATAAATAAAATATAATATAAGAAATTAGGTTTAATAAAAAAAAGGATATATCAAATTTCAGAGGTTTCATTTGATTTCATTTAAATTGCGCATTTTATGGGAAACAAAAAAGTTTACTGATTTCACTATATTGTGAAATGGTTATTTTTAATACTGTTCCGTATCTTAGGCCCTCGATCTGTTATACTGTATTTCTTTCAATCTTTATATGATATAAGTTGTTTATAATCCTAAGTCTTTCGTTTTCAGGAGAATTTCCAATGTCTTTAACAGTTTACAGTTTGTTGCAGATGTTTTAGCCGGGCAGAAAAATTTTAGTTTATCTATTAACGTTTGTTCAAAATTCGTTTCAAATTTCGAACAATTATCATCAAACCCAAAGCAACTGCATTTGACTTAAAATTTGAACTTATTTATATTAAAGCATAAGCCTAATAGCTCAGATTAAATTATAAATTAAAACTTGTAAAAAATACTTCAAAAATTATTGTCAAAAACAAAACCCTACGTAACAGTAACAAACGGTTTACAGCCTTTGAGAATGTTCTTTATTAATCTAGAATGTGATGCTTTTTTACAGTTTAGAAAAGACATTTATCATTAAAAAAAAAGCACGGGACTTTTAAAATGAATCATGGTATCAGATTCAGGACTGAAAGGTTGTTTAATAACCCAATAAGTTTTTTTTGATGAAAATATTTCTTTTTTATACCCCTTACCTTATTATTTATTTGCTTGTTTACTTATTTAAACTTTTCATGCTATGATTTTCTCAGTTGGTTAGAGCGTCAAACTTTTTGTTTGACGCTCTAACCAACTGAGCTATCCAGCCACTATTAGAAGTACCCTATTCTTTTTTAGCAATAAGTTTTAGTCATTTAGATGTAGAAGCCCTAGCTATACAGTACAGAGTTCATAACATTATAAAATTGAAATGAAAAAAATGTACACAGAAAAATTAATTTAAAACATTAACTATAGTTGAATAATAGGAATAACAGTTACGATCAAAATAATAAAGAATAAAGCTATTTTTCCCTACCTAAATTTAAAAAGAAAACTATATTATCTATAGAAATCGTGCAGCACAATTATATAAAATTAATACAATTAGCTCAACTAGCTTTATTTATTTTGTAGTGATTATGCAATCTGTTCTGTTATTTCTTGACGACAATACAGTTTTAAAAGCTAGTAAAGAAAATCTTTGACGACTCTTAGAAAAGATGACTATGTAATTAACAGTAAAACATAATAGCACAAGTAGCCCCTGGCTCAGTGGTACAAAATTATGTTTTTTGTGCCAAATTATATTTTTCAATTGTTTAAGTTATATTTGCGTTATTTAAGAAATAGAATTCATAAATAAAGTTTTTAAACGTGAAATTATAATTTTTTTTTTTTTTTAATTTTAGCAAAAAAAGTATAAAAATTTTTTACGAATAATTTTTGATAGATAATATTTGATATAAGAATTTGTAGGTAATCTTTGTGTACAAAATATGTCTTTTAAATATTTTGTTTTTCATCAGCTGACCGCTTAATGAATACAAAACTTTATTATATTCTTGTTAAGAGCGAAAAATGGTAAACTAATTTTGATGCACTGTTATTTACATACAATGATCTGTAAATTTACATAACTAAATGCGTGGAGGATTTTGAAGGATGGTTTATCTGAAAAGTATGAAGTTAAAAGCAAAAACTGTTTGTTACTGTATTAAAAAGTCTGAACATAAAATAAATTTATTTAGATAATGTAATTTAAAATCTTTAAAGTTAATTTAAAAGAAACTTAAGAATGTTGATATTTAAAAAATGCAAAATTATACTAGCAATGATTTTGGGTATTTTAGCACACTCTGTCCCACTATTTAGCAGAAAAACTTAAACTAGTAGACATTTTTGTTATTTCTTTGATTTTGTAGACTGGTTAAGTTAAATTTTTTTTTTCTTTTATTTTAACTCTTTGTTTTTTTTTAAGAACTGGTGCATTTACATTATTTTTCTAAACCACTATATGCGATTTAAACTCTTTATTATTAATAAGATTTTCGAGCATAGTTTCGAGCATAGTTTCGAGCATAGTAGAAAACTGTCGATTAATAAAACTTAAATAAGAATTTCTAACATAGTAAATTTTTCAGATTTTTTTTCCTATTTTCCTGTTTTATTTTATACTTATATATTTATATTTAAACTTTTTAACTCCTATTTTCTTGTTTTATTTTATACTTATATATTTATATTTAAACTTTTTAACTCCTATTTTCTTGTTTTATTTTATACTTATATATTTATATTTAAACTTTTTAACTCCTATTTTCCTGTTTTATAAACTCAAGCATCTAATGCAAAAAAATGTTTTGAGTGAATGGTTTGAATAGTTAGAGAAATAGATCACAATCGACGACGTTAATTAATTGATTTCTAAAACATCTTTCATTGATTTGTTGATTATAAATAATATAAATAGAGGATAAATTATTCGTTTCAATAATTTTTTATATTTAAAAACATTTAAAAGTGGTCCGTCAAGCCAGCCTTTATTTTACCTGTACAATGGCAGTTGTTAACAAAATTGTTATTGATTATGTTATCGAGCAAAAGATTAGGAAACAGATTTTATTACAAAGATTATCAAAAAAGATTTAGGATTTTAAGTTAATCAGGGGGAGGGAAAAAAAAGAGGGGGATAAAAAGGTCTTAAAAATTCTTAGAGGTCCGCATATTTTCATTTATAAGTAGCTTTCTTTTTTAACTTTTTGTACTTTAGTGTAATAATCAAATTTATATACGCATTACATGTAATAGTCATTCGTCTAATTCTGTATAATAGTCAATTTACAAAAGAATATTTATGAAAAAGTGTCCCATGGGGAGGGGGGCTGCTACCCTATGGTCCAACCTTAAAACCCGCCACTGAATTAAATTATTCTTTTAAATGTTTATTCTTGTTGCTTTGTTTATAGTTTGAATGAAATTATATTATAAAGGAGTTTCAATAAAATATTTAACATTTTAAACTGGGTTGAAATATCTAATTTGAGGTTACCTAATACATTTATATGTTTCTTGTTTTATTTACTTTGGTCAGAAAAAGCGCAAGGGGTCATCCACAAATTACGTCACGCAATTTTTGACCGTTCAAGACCTTCTTCCAATTTCCATAAATCCATGGGTATTGAGTAGGGAGAGGGGTGCATAGGTCTAAAAAAATTTTTTTGTAGTTCACAGTAATAAAAAGCAAAATGAAAGTACATTTTAAATTTCTTCTTCTTTGTATATACATATTATAGCGGGTTTATGTACAACGGAGAAGTATATAATTTGTATATACATAGTAAATACAACGGAGAAGTATATATTTTTGTATATACATAACATAGCGGGTTTTCTATTACTAACTGCTATTTCACCTGCTACTGTAGCAGGTTAAAGGTAAGTTTTAAAAAACTTGGAGGTTTATTTTTTAAACACTGAGTGTTAAGGTTAGACATTAGACAACATGGTAAAATTGTGACATTTTAAATATCTTATAAAAAAAGTTTTCATGATTATATTAAAAAATGCGTATAAACCATGTCAAATTGTAAAAAAAAAAGTCGGTATAGGTATAATACATATAATAAAATAAGTGAGGTTGTTAAGTAGCTGGATGACGGGCTTTACCAAAGGCTCTATGAATTTGTCATCACCTGTAGTTTTTGGATGATTATTATAGTTGATGTTTGTTATCAGATAAAGTTGTTCCCATTAAATATAGTACTTTGGTTTTTCATTACAATATTGTTGGAGTACTTTAAAAACCTCATACGCACACAATTAAAGCTTTCGAATTGATCAGAAGAGTCTTTGAAAATTGTTTTATAAACTCAAATTAGATTTCTTGTTGTTGTATAAATGCCTTAACATGTTTACCATTGACTCATAATATTTTTTTTCCTTCATTTAATATTAGTTTCTAAAGTTTCAAAGACAAGATATCGAAAAATCTTGTAAAACGCCCGGAAGTCCCACAACCAGAAGCTCTTGTACTAACTGTTTGTTTATACGGCATGTAGAACAACCTCTAACTAATCTCTTGCAACTTAGCAAAAACATAGTTAACCTTCTTTTAAACTGTTGCACATACTCTTTTGTCCATAAACTAACTATTTGCCTAAAAATATAAGCTATTTGCGTAAAAATATAAACTTATTATTTTTTTTTTTTAAAAAAAAGGTGATTCACAAGTACAAAGTTGAAAAAATATAATTAATATATATATAAATACTTACGCACATACAGATATAAATACATAAATACATATATATAAATATACTGGCAAAAAAAAAGTGATGCATAATAAATAATTAATTAAAAAAAAAAAGTCATGAAATACAAAAATTAATTAATTTTGATTTAAAAATGAAATTTAAAACACCGAGAGAGTATAAAGGATATTTATGTATTAAAACTTTTCTGTTGTTTAAATGAATTTTATAATTTTTTTGTCATTATTCTATTTATAAAATTAGAAGATGGAAGGATGATAAATTATTAGTTAAAAGTTATATATATGGTTTATGGCAGCTCCAGTTGTCGTAAAAGTATAACATCAGTCTTATTTTTAAGGAGCTTTGACAACATTTTTTTATTCCACAAAAACATATTGTTGCAAACAATTTCTCTTAAGTTATAAATATGTTTATTTACAAAATTATTGTTTTGGTTCAAAATTTAATTTAAAAAAAAAAAATCTAATTTTCATAAATAGACAACAAAAAAAAAAAAAACCCTGCTATTTGCCTAAAAATATAAACTTAAATACTATAAATAAAGACGATATACTAAAAATAAATATTTGTTTCCTGATTAAAAATATAAACGGCATTAATAAAAAACGCATTAAATTAGTGAAGTTTAATTACTAGAAGTGATATAACCCTTGTTCCGTTGCTTTTATAAAAATAAACACATTAGCAGTTTTACGACTCCAAACCTACTTTAAATAGAACCTTTCTGTCATTTTTGAGCTTCAAACTGAAAATAGTGTTAATACTAATTCAAATATAAAAAATGATTTCTGATGCTTTTGATAACAACTTCTACAAAATGTGCAATGCAAAACAGTCTGAACTTCTTAACGAAAACCTATATTATGAGTTTCTTAAATCCAATATTGTGTCTAATAACTTGACAAACACTATATATGGTAAGACTTAGAAACTTTTTCTTTGTTATACAACATTTGTAAATTTTGTTTTACAAAAAAGGTAAATAGGTTGGCTTATTGGTTTTTTTATATTAATTAGAGCCTGAAACCGAATTTGTATTTAACCAACCAATGAATAATGAAGTATGTGTTAATAAGAATGCAAGTCATGCAAAAGTAAAAGCTGTGCTTGAAAATCGTTGCATCTTTGAGCAGTTTGAAAAAAACACAACAGAAATGGTTGTGACTAAACAAGGAAGGTAAACTTAATCCAAGCAAATGTTACTGATGTTGTTTAAACTTTATGTTTTCTTTCCTACTTGATTAATTTTTTCTTTCCTTTGTTATTCTCAAAATTGAAAAACTAGTTAAAAAAACGTTGACATAAAACATTAATAATAAATACATTATTTATTTAGACGGATGTTTCCATCACCTGAAATTACTCTGTCAGGATTAGATCCGAATACATTATATTATGTGGCTATGGATTTTACTGCAGCCGACAATGCAAAATATAAATGGTCTAAAGAAAATTGGGTATTGCAAGGGGAAAGAGATACTCATTGGTCATCAAATAGATTTGTTCACCCAGAAAGTCCTCTTTTAGGTTCGCAATGGATGAAAAAAATAATTAACTTTAAGACAATTAAGCTTACAAATAGTACATCAAACTCATTTGGAAATGTAATATTTTCATTAAAAATGTTTTGTATTTGGAATTTTTTAAATTTAAATCAATTAGATGTGTTAAAATATATTTTAAAACATAGTTTTTCTATTTTTTATAGATTGTTTTGAGCTCAATGCACAAGTATCAGCCTCGTGTTCACGTTATACCAGATTACGAGGTGTATTTGAATAATTCTCATTCCATCAGCACCTTCGTTTTTACAGAATGTCAATTTATTGCTGTTACAGCATATCAAAATCCGAAGGTTGGTAATTTGTTTTTAATATGAAAATAGAGGCTATTTATATATATACAATATTTATATTATACAAGTATAAAACAAATGATTTTTTGATAACTAATAAATGAAAGAATAAAAATATTATGATTTGATAAACCAATCAACTTATAATGAATAAAAAATATTTTTTATATCAAACTTTAGATTACAGATTTAAAAATTAAATACAACCCTTTTGCAAAAGGATTTCGCGATCAAAGAAAACGAAAATTCCCAATACAACAAGTGTCTTCCATTGAACAGTCAATTATAAAAAAAAGAAAAAAAGAAGGTTAAAAAATCTTTTCTTTGTTCATTTCATATTTCTCGAAAGCTTATCTATATTTATGTTACCGTGTATTTGTTTGTATTTATTTTGTCAACCAAATTTATACTTTAGTAATTAAACTGATACCTCTTAAATTAACTTGATACCTCTATAGAAATAGATAAATTAAATTAAACAAAATTATTTTATTTGAGATAAAGCCTAACCTATAAAGATAAATATTTTTTTTGTGGTTTTGTAATATATTTTTGTGAACTTATTTTCAATAAATTCACAAAAATTCAATAATTTTAAAACATTCAAAATAATTATTTTTAAATAATTTACTATTACAGACGAATCTATTACAAAACAAGCTTCAGTTGACAAAGAAGAGGAAGCTATTTTTACACATTTAATCTTACCTTCATCGGAGAGACTTGATTTGTCTGCTGAAAAGTTAATTGACGAACTCACCATTCCAGGATCAACTGCAAGAAAAAATCTTGAACTTCTTTGCCAGCCTTACTCTAATTACTGTGGTTTCAATCACACAGTTGCAAGACCAGATTTCACATGCGATTCCAATTATAATAACTTTATGTAAATATGTATAAAATTTTATTTAAAGCTTTAAATAACAGTTTATTTTGTAAATAAAAAAGAGAAACATATATTTATATAAAAAGAAATGATAAATATAATATTCAACTATAATTAATCGAATTTTTGTAGAATATTTTTAGATAAAAAATAAGATAAAAATTAGAAAAAAATGTACTATTTTTTTTTTTTTTTTTTTTAACTTAAATTTCAATAAAATTAAATGTTTTTTTAAGTAGACTGGCCCTTTTTTTCTTTAAATACAATACTTTTGTGGGTTTGCGCAATACCTAAAAACTAACATAGTGTACTAAATATTTATTTTAATTTTAGCTTATTATAATAAACTAAAAGTATAATAAATAGAAAGCACTTTATGCTAAAATTTTAAGGCATTACACCAATCATATACCAATCATACTTACACCTATCTTACTTATTTTTAGGCTTTGATACTCCAACTATCAATATTCAAAATATTTGAATTCATTTAGCCATTATTAATCAGAGATGTTAAACACATTATAAAAAATCAAAGCAATATGTACAAAACTGCAGAAAATTATAAAGTTTGTTTGGTATCAAATAGAAATTAGTTATGAATATATATATAAATTTAAAAAAAATTTTTTTTTTTTCTAAGTTTATATATTTAACTTAGCAATTGTTTGAAAACGAAAGAAAATTAGGCAGGCTGTTTAAATGTTATAAAATGTTTTAATAAGTTTTTGTGGTGCAAAAAAAATCGGACTAATAGAATATGGTAGACTATAGAATTAAAAACCTATTCCAACGGAATTCTGACCGGAATATACCAAAATAAGTGTTTGCCTTGATTTTTAAACGCTTTTTAACACAAACTATTTTTTTTAACTTATTGGGTGCCCAAATCAAAACACTTAGTCAATATATATACACTCCTTGCATGTTTTACCTATTTAAATCAGTCGATGTTTAACGTAATTTCATAGTTATATAAATTAAGACAGTGAAAGACTAATTCTGAAGAAATTAACAAAAAAATCCTGAAAAGTGCAAACCCCCTTTTTTAAATTTGGCGGAGGCAATTTTTAAAAATTTAAAATTGCTTCCTAGGTTGTCTGGATCCGCCCCTGATTGTGCTATCATAATTGTTATTATTATCGTTGTTAATATAATTAATTATACATTTATAAAAGTTATTTTTTAAAGTGTTAACTTGAGACTTAAGATAAGTAATTCATTCCTAAATGCATATGTCCGCGAAAATTTATTTTCAACTTTATTTTCATGTGGTATAATTTTACTTCTCTTTTTTTTTTTTAGATTTTATTTTGCAGTATATATATATTGCTGTTTAATCAGTGCTCGAAGTGAGGCGCGATGCCATCACGTCACCTTTTTTTAAAGTTTAAACCATCCCACCACCTTTTTGTAAATTTCTATATATAACAATGATTAGGCGGGATGGTATTTTTTATTTACCAAATACCATCCCGTTACTTTTTTTTCTCCACTTCGAACACTGCGTTTGATAAAACAAGTTGCATAAGAGTTTTACGTAAAATATATATAAACCATTTAAAAAACAGAGTGAGACTCAAAACAGACATGGATGATACAATACCGCTTCAATCTTCTCAAAGAGCCACTTTAAAAAATAAATATCTTAAATAAAAAGTTTTAATAAACTACACATATTATTAGATTTTCAATTTAAATAGCCAAAGATTTACAGTATATAAACCAATACATAAATAACTAAAAGAATTTTCAAAGCTCAAAATAATTTCATTAACAAAATACTTTTTAACTAACAAATTTAATTAAATCATGATTGTATTATTATGGTTATTTTTATATGTTTATATTTAAAAAAGGTTAAAACAAAAATGTTATTCATAAATATCAGCTTTTCCTGGTCTGAGATCTTCTATCAGAAAAAAGTCAATTTTTGAATTCCAAGTCTAACTTTTATTATTCTAATTTCTAACAAATAAACTTTTCTTATAAGACTCGGTTATTTGTTAGAAACTAGGAAACAAGGTAGTTAATTAACTTGCTTTTGCAGTAGTTTCGTTCGACAAGGCCCGTTTTATTTATTTAAAGGGTAAAGTGAAGGTTGTAACGAGGGGTGTGGAGTTGTAAAAAAAAAAATAACGACTCCAACTCCGACTCCAGTTGTTGAAATGTTTTGAGTACAACTCTAACTCCGACTCCAGTTGTTGAAATTTTTTGAACACAACTTCGACTCCGACTCAGACTCCAATTCCGACTCCGACTCCAACTCCAGAAGCTGGATTTTTGAAAAATTCTTTGAATTCTTAAAAATATATTACGCGATAAGTTAAAAATTTCTTTTCTGACAAATTTATGAAACGTTCTTGGAGGTTTAGTATGAACATAAGGTTAGTTGAATGTTTTGTCCAAGCACGTGCAATACCGAGAAGTTTTACTATTGGAGTCGAAGTCGCGATTTTGTTTAGCGACTCCGACTCCTCTGAAAATGTCGCAACTCCGCAACTCTGACTACGACTTCGACTCCACAGCCCTGGTTGTAACAACAACAAAATAAAAAATTCCTCCTCAACTATAGGAGCCCAGTTTTAAGAAGGTAAATAAAACAGAATTTTTTTTTTTACTTTTCTCTATAATAAAAATCATAAAAAACCGCTTTATATTTTTTATGAACTGGTCTTATCAAAAAATAAGGCAGTTTTGAAATATAGTAAAATGTAACAACTCGAACTATTGTGTCATTTAAGTACTAGCGTCATCAAGTCTAGATCACCTCCATTTTTTTAGATTTTTTTTTCCTAAAAGCGCATAATAAATACTAATTTAATTCAGATATGTTTTGAAATAAATAAATTTGTATATATGTAAATAAATTTCAATTTCAAGTTTGTTTGAATAAAAAAATCTTGTGTTTGAAACTACTTCATTTAAATAGAATTTATATAAAAACTTATTAATTACTAAACTAAACTTGAACAATTTGTCTTTAAATAAAAATAAATGTTTTAATAAAAAACATTAATGAACATGGTATATTTCAACATTACAACAACCCTTGCAAAAGATCAATGTACCCCATGCAATGGGGTACTATGATCTCCGATATGGGGCGCTTTGATCTTATATGAGTAACATTATTTACATGTTTAATACTGCTATATCTAAGTGCTACAAATGCATTAGTTGAAGGGTATTAGTGTATATTATTTAATACATCTAAAAAAAAAGTAAAATTTAAAACATATATATATATATATATATATATATATATATATATATATATATATATATATATATATATATATATATATATATATATATATATATATATATATATATATATATATACATACCATTACAACCTAATTCACACTTGGGTGTCCCAAATTTATACTTTTTTTTAATTTCTATGTGCACGCAATTTTTTCCCATTCTCTAGTGTCCCCTGATTGCAAATATATAAAAAAAAAAACATTGTCAGACCACAATTTCAGCAATATGTAAAATTCCATTTTTTGTTAAAAACCAAAATTTTACACATTTTCCTAATAAAAATACTAAAGTGTGTCAGAAAATGTATATTTCAAAAATAATAAGTCATATATTTTTTAACTGGGACTTGGAAAGATCTTTTTAAGCTTATTAATGTATAAAACATCAGCCATAAATCTAAAGAGTAAGATTTTGTCACCATTAATATTTATTTATTATATTCTTTTATTTATATGTTATTTATTATACTTAACTTTTTTTCTTTTAATATACTGTACCTAGCTTCATGGCAGGCTCCAGGTTAATGAAAACACAGCCCAGGTACTTCTCCTCCCAAATAGAAAACAAAAAGCTTGCATAGTTTCCTGTAATCATTCCTCACAAAAGTTTTTGAGGCAAGGGCCTCTTTTCCAAACTCCAGAGCTTTCTTAGCAATTATATAAAGAGGTGACTCAACCTGAAGCTGACTCCAATCAAACCTAACTAGATCTATCATCTTGTCAACCTCTTTTTTGAAAAAACACAAATTATTCTGGAGTTTGACATACAGCCCTTTTCTTGGGCCCTTCGTCTTCTCTCCAGTCAAAGCCTCCATAAAGTGTGAGATGTGTATTTCTAGCATATGTCTTCTACAGAGAAACCATTTAAGTGGAATATTAAGAATGGAACTAAGGATAACAACAGCTCCGGAGTGTATTCCAGTATTAGATGCAGTAGTGTCACAGCAAACAGAAAATATTTGATCTACAATGTCATAGTATTCTAGCAAATTCAAAATTGCTTCAGCCTGGTCATTACCTTTAGAACTTAGTGTCTGAATAACACCTAGCAGTATGTCATCTGTGTCATCCATATCAGGGGATGTAACACTAACCGCTATTCTTTCTACAGAAACAGTTATTCTTAGATCTTCTTCAACCTGTTTTATCCTTTTTCCATCAAAATGAACACATAGCTTTTTTCCCTTCAGAGTAGTTATAATTTTTTGCCTGAGCTTATCTCCTAATATCTCAATTTTTTTGAATCTTTTTCTATGAACGGTACTTCTTGATAGATTAATATCTTCTAGATTTACACCAGCTTTATTGCAAATAGCAGCTACTAATGAAGTTTGTGGGCGTATACCTACTCTGAATCGGGCAGAAACTGCAGCAGTACAGTCTACCAGATCTTCAGCACTTATACTTATCATTATCTTAGATTTAGTAGAATGACTGAATCTATTAGGTAATTTTTCATCATCTGAAGAATCTAAACTAACTTCCGATTCAGAATCATTTCCAGATGAATAAAAAGAAGCTTCAAGTTTGTTGGATTTTACTGCATTAATTGTAATACTACTTTTATCTCTTGCTTCCTCCATCCTCTTGAGCCGAATATTTTTATTTTTAACTGAATTTTGTAATACTTTATCCAACTCTTTTGTAATATACATGTTTCGCTCTCTTTTTTGATCTAGATAAAACCTAATATCCTCCTTTTTAGCATTCTCCGAACGAAAACGATCCTGATTTA